ATTTTGTAATTTCATTGTATTTCTTATGCGTCTTCAGGAGCGACCACAGTACGACAGTATCAGCAGCGACAGAAACATAAACAATGGAGGAAGGAGAGAGATGCACATTTTGTTGCTGGACAATCAGGAACTATTTTGAGTTTCTGTCAAGTCCAATGATTATAAGTGACTTTGGGCTTGTTTTTTTTCTAAAGTCCCCGGATGCGGTTTTTTGGGCTTGTTTTTGAACATGAAGTTGCTCATTTGGGGTTAGAAATAAGCAGAGACACATAATGAGACCCAGATGTTGTCTGACACCCAGGTAGTTTTAGTCAGGCTCTTTTAAAAAAGCTGTAAAAAAGATGATTAAATATTTCTATTTGGACAGTCCAGACATTTGTCTACAGGCAGTACTAATTATACAAATACAGCTTACAAATGATCTTTCTCTTGGTATTTGCTGCCTAACGCTTTTTTTGTTGTATAATTCTTCGTAGCAGCTGCGTCCTGTCATAGTGGACATTATCTCAGCTGTATTTAAACTTGAAAACAGGGGAATCTACGTCTGTCATCCTACCTGTTGAACTCACGCTCTTCTTGCTCTGCATTGTGGGATTCCTGCAGGCTGAGTTCAATGGCTGTCTGCAGTTCATCTTTAGGAAGTCCTAAAAAACCCCAAGAAATATCAGGTAAACTTAGACCCAACATATGCATTTATGCATTTCATGTTTGTTTAGTTTTAAAAACTAATTTTACAAGCATTTACTTAAATGTATCTTACTAAGGAATCTGTTTTTACACTATTACCTACAAAACTGGTTGAAATATTGTGCCTCACATTCATGCCTCTTTTTCACATTATCTCACAAATGAAATGTCTTTTATTAAGATTTTACATGACAATTGAACACAAAACAACATATAATTTAAAGCTAAAGAAAAATAATACATGACATTTGAAAAGTGTGGCCTTTCTGAGCAGTTTGCAGTTTATAAGTTTATAAATGTTGTGTTCTTCATCTCTGTTTGAAATCAGAGGTTATTGGTCAATTTACAAAAATAAGAAATAACCTTATAAATATCACGCTTACAGCTTTCAATCTTTTTTTAAGATGATAAATTTCTTATAGTATTTCAGTTACTATATCACCATCATCCTTCATTCTGCCTTCCTATACTGTTATAAATTAAAACATGCACGATGGCACATCTAAATGCTTTCCAGTCAGATATTGCCGCAGTGCACCTCTCTGTTTGTCCCAGGTCTCTGCAGACGTGCCGGACTCCTGTGGCTCTGCAGAGTCCTGAACCTCCACAGTCTGGGTGGTCAGTAGTCCCACAGCATGTCCGACATCCCCCTGGCTGGCCTGAAGGGGAGAGCACAGAGAAAACCTTCCCAGAAAAAGACTCCCGTAAGGCAAGACAAGCATCGTTTCTACTGCAACTACTTGGTTTGAACCCAGTTTCTGCTCGTTTCAACATTCTGCAAATAAATTTCCAACGTACTGCAGATCCAAGATGTCCAGATTTTGCAACCTAAAGAAGGTTGTGAGATGTTCTCAAATCTGGAAGACTTTTGTAGATTGAGGGAGGAAATGATCAAGTTAAGAACAGATGCTGATAGTCTTACTAAAGAAGCCCGAATCCTTTGGCTGTATACACTGATCAGATCCGGAATTTGAACTAGACAAAACCCAGGAAGTACCCTGCTAACTGCTACTCAGTGTGTGTGTGTGTGTGTTACCTTCAGGGCTTTGTAGAGAACCTGCTGGTCCTGGATGCCAGTGATCTCCTTCAGCTGCTCCATCAGCATTTTGAGCTGTTCACAGAAAACAACTTGAGTTTTTTCTTGCACCACTAGAGCACAAGTCCAGAAACACTCTGAGGAATCATTAGACCTGACCACAAATCACGTCTCACACAATATTTGAATAGTAAATAAAGAAATTAGATATATTTGTTTACATGTTGACGCAACGCAATATCATCCCTTGCGTTTTGAGGTTGTGCTATGCCTGAAGGATTTAAGGATCAGATTTAAGCAGCTAAAAAAAATATTCCTTTATCACATACTGGAGTGAAAAAAGTAGTTGAAGTCTTGAAAAAAAGTCCCTCAAAAAGTCTAAAAACAATTTTTACGACGTAGAAAATACAACTGGGAAGAGAAAGGAAGTTGAAACCAAATATTTACATCCACTGTCATATTTTTCCTTTTCCCCCTCATTATTACACTTTTACTCAGAGCTCTTTTTGGTTTTAGGTCTGATGTTTTTTTTTGTTTTGTTTTTTTTTTTAATCATTTTCTTCAAATTAATCTTCTAGCAAATATGCCTTTAAACTATTTTGGAAAGTCCAAACAGATTTATGAGGTTCTGATAGGATAATTCACAATATCTTAGTTAAATGGAGGCGCAGATAAAGATGCATAGGCTGAAAGGCCACTCGGAGAGAAAGAAGCCATTACTCCTGAATCAACATAGAAACCCAGACCACAGTTTGCAAATTGAGTCTTATTGTCTGATGGAAGAATAACTGAAGAATTTTGGCCATAATGACCTTTGTTACACCTGGAAAAGAACAAAGAACCAATGAAACCTTTATGCATACAGACCAAACCTGGATTCAAACCAAGGAAAGGCATCATTGCTACCTGCAGCACAGCACAGAACAAACTGAGTTATCACAGTGCTGATAAATTCATTATTTCACACCTGTTTATTTTGTTCTTAAAGTTCTGAGCCTGACTTCCAGTCATCTTCAAACCTTTGCAAACACAAACCATAATACAGGAACCTAAGAGATGCACTCAATTTAAAAATAAATCACCTAATTCTGCACAGCGAGACGCGCTAAATAAAGCTGGCTGTCCCGGCAGCAGGTGCTCATGTCATTGTATCTCTCTCTCTCTCTCTCTCTAACACAGAGAGGAAGCCGGGACCAGGCTGACCAGACTTATATGGAGCCCAGGGGGCAATCTGAGACCCACTTGGTTTGCCTCTATTTTAGGGTACTGACATGGATAGCACAGGCTTCTGTTTATCATTCTGCTCACCGTGCCACTGGGCACCAGGGTGCCTCTTTTATCCTCCCAGACACACACCACCAACAACCAAACACCAGTAATGCAAGTGAACCTTTCATTTTTTTTAACCACACCTTAAACAACACATGTTAAACTATCCATAGGCTGCATTCAAACACCACACAAGTAGATTGCTTCATGCACTGAGCAGCAATAAATGATCTGTTTATTACAGTAATGACAGTAATGGACGACAGTTGAATCAGATTTAAATTTAAACGTGACTCTCTGAAAATGACTGTCATTTAACAATGGAAAAAAGCCACCAGATATCAGCAGTCCACACGTTGAACTGACATCTACATTTAAAAAAGACTTGATCAAAAATATAACCTAAGTGCCATAGGCATACATGTTTAACACATGCCAGATGAGAACATTTTATTTTTAATATTAGTTTAGTAAATTAAACAAAGAAGAAAGTTAAATTTGTTGAATGAAGGCTGAGTGGAGTTAGACGTGTTGACGTTAGTAGACGTTAATCAAAGTCTCCATCATTTTCTCACCGAGTTCGTTGAGTTTTCTCCATTTTCACTTTGTTCAGCTCTCATTGCAGATTAAAATTAATAATAATAAAAATCTGGATTTATTTACGTCTTTTCCCCTCCAAAAAGTGCTCGCGACAGACTCTCTCCGTCGTTCAAATCGACTCCATCTGTCACGCGCCGAGAGCGAGCAACCAGCTGCGGTGCGCTTTCTTTAGAAGGCGCGCGAGGAAGGACACGCGCACTGACAACCCAGTAACCCTATAAGAAGCAGCTTACTTAGGTTCTGGAGGCCATAGAGAGGCAGCGCGGCCCGCTAACATACCGGGTTCTCTTAATATGAAAGGATGTTTTTCTGTTCCTGCTTCGTTGTTACACATAAAGATGTTGAATCCTCTATCAGACAAGTTTAAAGAGTAAAAGAGGGGAAAAAATCGGCCGATATAGACACAGAAAATAATGCAATATAAATGTTCTTAGATCAAAATGGGAGAAAAAAAACAAAAACCAAAAAAACAAAATCTTGAAATTCAATTAAAATCGTCCAGTAACATTCGCCATTATAACCCGAAGAGCCATTTTGATCTCAGGTCAAACATAAAAAAAAAAATAATGTCATATAACTTTTTGGAAAAATACATATTAGATAAATATCTACTTTAGGAAATTTGTTGTAATTTTAAAGAACCTCCACTCTATCTCTGTGTTTAGGTTTTAAAATAAAGATAAACAACAGAGTAATGTGAAAAACCAAAAAAGCACATAGATTCCAACCTAATAACGAGGAAAAATAGATATAAAAGCATATTAGTGGTACTCACAGTGTCATTCTTTATGGAATTTCAATGCAAGCATTGCAGGGAAAAAAAAGGTCAAACCTGAATTTGTTATTATATCTATATTTATTTAGCTGGTTCCTTTTTATTTTTTAACCAAATTATTAGGAACCATTGTGGAAGGTCCAAAGAACCCTGCACCTTTGGGTGCAGGGTTCCCAAAGGAACCAGGGTTCCCTGTTCTGTTCTGTTCTTCACACAGAACAGAACAATCTGTTCTGTTCTGTGAACAGAACAATCTGAACAGAACAATCTGTTCTGTTCACACAGAACAGATTGACTTAGTCTGTTCTGTGTGAAGATATCTGAATAACAGTATTTCCTAGCACTACTGTTCAACTCCTAATTTGTTATTGTTAAAAAGAACATCTGCACAAGCACCTTCCTAAATGACCCTACTAGTTTCTATGGTACTGAACCAGCAGAACCTGTTATTTTTTTTCCTCTTCTGCACGCTCTACTATCATTCATATCATCTTACCAGCGCTGTGGGAAATCAATACCAAACCAAGATGTCTGCATAACACCGCATATTGTTCCTGAACGCCACTCAGTTCAGATACAGCTGAACGTTTTTGTGGATATTTGGACGGCTTTTGGACGGCTGGTTCTGGCACGATGATTCTGGTTTGGATCGTATTGTTTTTATCAGGTAAGACTGTATTTTACAATTTGTAGGTCTGAGGCTGTAGAAATTAGTACTTATCGGTTAGATTTTAGATGCTTAGTTTCCACACAGAAATGTAAGTTAAAGAACATTTTCTTCATATTGTAACTTTAAGCAGTTACATGGTGCTTCAAGTCATAAATATAAATATTAAAGTAATATAATTATTTCTTTTGAGCTGCTGTGCTTTTTCATTGCAGTTTAATAAGCAGAAAGCACAACCAAGAATATATTATTATTATATTACTTCATTTTAATTTGCCTAAAGCTACAGAAGCAAGACGTTTTACCTTCTAGTGCAGTTAAATTTTAGCAATCTATTGTAGAGTGGAGGGTTTTTTAGCATGAATAAAGTTTACAACAATATCTCAGTTGTAGTTCTGAACATGAGTAATGGCCAAGACATCTTTCTCCTATGAAGGCTTTTTCAAATTGGGACCATTCAAAGTAACTAACCACATGTACCATTATAACAGATGCAAATTTATTATAGCTATCAGTATATATTTTTGTTTTATAGTTAATCTGACTGAATGTGTGCCAGAGAAGCCAAAGAGATCCACTCTGAACCAGCTGACCAGAACCCTGCTGAGGAAATATGACTGTGGAGTTCGACCCGTCCACAACTGGACCAGTTCTACTACAGTCTACATAGACCTCATACTACAGTCTGTCCTCGATGTGGTATGTCACTTCAACAGGTTTAGCTTATGTTGCTCTCTCAATTATTGTGGCCTGCAGGTTTTTGACAAAAATCCTTTGTGTACTGCAAAGTGACCTCTAAGGTCAGTGATGGTAACCTTTTGAGTAACCAGCAAGTAGCCATTAACTTTACTTTCTAATAGACTGATTTTACTAGAAACCAAAAGTAACTTCGGATTATTCAAAAGTAATCTTTTGAGTAAGCAGCAGGTAACCATTAAGGTTCAGAAACTAATCTGTAGATTTCTGTTACACTAGTGTGGATATTCTGTTAAACCTATGGTTAACCTGCTAACTGGAGGAACCAAAATCACCAAAATGCCTGAAAAGGTATACCTATAAATTACAGAAAATAGCCTGTAAATTTCATAACACAATAGACTGCTCTAAATCTTCATGTAAGTTTCACAAAGCAGTCTGTTGATTCTCTAACAGTAGTAGTAATGTTTTGCTGCAGTAACCTTGTAGCTCAGAAATCACAACCCCAAGTTATAGAACTTTTTCTTTTTTTTAGAAAGCAACTCTTGGACTCAATTTCACAACTTCAGTAAAAGTGACATGGAATGTTTAAATCTAATCAACCGTCATAATGCTTCAGTTGTTAATAATTTTTTTTTAAATCACGTCAACCTCTAACTTAATTTATAATCTATAACGACAACCACTGAGCGGTTTTGTTTGTTTGTTTTCCAGGATGGAAAGACCCAGAGCATTACTACAAGCATTTGGTACAGACAGGTAGATGTTCTCTTAACTGTTTAATTTGTTTCTCATTGTTAGGTTTAGAAAAGTAAATATTTTGCCAGGCTTTAACATAAATTGGCTGTTGTCAGATCTGGAGGGATGAGTTCCTCGTTTGGGACCCGGAGGACTTTGATGGCATCACTGAGCTCTCTCTCTCTTCTGACGCCATCTGGGTGCCTGACATCATCGTCACTGAATTGTAAGAGGAATATTCTTGTTGTGCATCTCTGCTCCTCGTCATTATAAGTAACTATATTTATATTTTTCTTACATAGTTCAATTTTTAGAATATCTTAAGAAGATATCTGTTTGCCTCAATGAAATGTGACTTGATTCTAATGTCCAGAACTGAAGCGATGTTCATTTGAAATGCAAAATGTATGTGAAAAAGGCTTAAACATTGCTTAGTGACATAAAAGAAGCTCCAGCAATAGTGCAAATTAGGAGAGACTTTCTGTGGAAAATCTAAAACTTATTTGGAGTTTTTTTTTTTTTAGTAAACAGAGCAAAAATAAAAGATTAATGTGTTTGTGGACATTTTGAGAAGATGCAGAGATATTGTCAACAATCTTAAGCACTTTGATTAAATTTAAATACAAGATACAAGAAATATAAAATAGCTCCTCCAGAAGTGGCACATTTCATGGTCTCATTAAATTAACAAACATTTACAAAGACTACATAGTGATTTGAATAAAACTACAAATACATTTGTACAATAACAAAATTTTAATGTTCGTATAATTTATTTCATTCAAACCTAAATGTTACATACTAATATAAAATCGATTGTTATTAAAGTTAGTTTTATGCAATATTCCAATTGTGTAGTTTATTTTTATTGAAAATTTTAAGACATCAAATTTTGATCAAAATTTTTGATATTGTGAGTTTAGTAAAAATGTCAACACATTTAAGGCATCGTTTTATTTCTTAAATCCTGTTATTATATTTGTATTCAAATTACTAAACATTTAAAAGAAATATTTAGATTTGATCTAAGTTACTCAGCAGTGATGTTTTTACTTTCAGAAATGAAATAGAAGAGCAAATTGTCTTTCTACTGTCTGGTGGCAGTTTGCAGGAAACTCTGAGGGTAAATCAGCTGGAGCAGGCCCTGGACATTAGAATCAGAGACCCAGCCTAAACCTTAAACTAAAACTAAATGTGATGTGGATAATTAATCAGCACAATTCCTCTGTTTCATGTGTCTTTTTTAGTGTGGAAGAGGGAAAGTCTCCTCCCATCCCCTACGTCTACGTCAACTCGTCTGGTTCTGTGAGGAACTACCGGCCGATCCAGGCGGTGCTGGCATGCAGCTTGGAGATGTACGCCTTTCCTTTTGACAAGCAGAACTGCAGCCTCACCTTTCGCAGCTGGCTTCACTCAGGTTGGCCTCCAGCTTCTGCTTCTGTAGCTAATAGATGGGACACGATGTCTGGAAGATGAAAGATACATCAACCATATTAACAGTCAAACAACACGACTGTAAAGAACACAGATGCCAAAGTTTTAGGTACAAATCCAAGGTGCAACACAGCGAGGCGAGTCAAAAGGCTTTCCGTTTTTTATTTTTTATTTTAAATATTTATTCAATCATCAGTACCTTGAAAAGGTTAAATTAGATCCAGAACATTTCAAAGATCACAACTATGGCCTTCAGCATGTTTTTAGGGTTTTTATATGACAACATAAATTAGCAAAAAGGAAACGTATTCATGGTTTCTAGAATTTTCTACATATCTGAAAAGTGTGGCATGCACTTGTTTTTACCCTCAGATGTTTGTTAGAGAAGAACAGAGACAAAGGAACCCAACAGACAGGAAGACCCTTGGGGAAAAAAAAAAAAAGAAAAACATGTGATGCTTACCCATGTGGTACATTGACATCACATGTAAAACATCAAATGTGTGCCATGTGCTTTTGCAAGCGGTTTCACATGTTAAAGTGATGTAAAAACACATGTGAAGGTACAATGTACAACGAGACATTCGAGTATTTCCATTTTTTTAAATATTTCTATGGAGTTAAAAACAGGTGTTATATGTTATTATATGATATAACTTTCACATGTTACAGCACAATAACACGTCTCACATATTCCAACTCAATTAAATCGTTTTGCCTACTTCCACAAGCTCGTTGGTGCAGTCTGCAACAAAACAAAGGACACAGTAGAGAAAATAAATTTTCCCTGCGTCCTGTTGTTGGGTTCCCATCTTGCCGCCTCTGGTTTTATTCTCCTTCCTGTTTTATCTCTCTCGGCAGTGAAAGAAATCGACCTGGCTCTGTGGAGGAGCGCAGAGGCCATTGCAGGCGATAAGAGGGAGTTCATGAATGATGGCGAGTGGGAACTGCTGTCCGTTCCATCGCAGTACTGGCAGATCCGCCAAGACGACGCCGACTATGCTCAGATCCAGTTCAACGTATGTTGAACACACACATTTTCACCCTGAGAAAACCATTTTTATGAAAGTAATTATAAAGGAGGACAATAAAATGGTTCACATAAAAAAATAAATCTTATTTAATCTTAAGTTAATGGTTATTGCATATGGACGGAGTAAATGCGGTGTGAGGACTGATGGCTCGTCGTAAACCGCGGCCCTTTAAAACCGTGTAGCAAAGTGTAAAAGCGTGAAGCAATTGGCTGCGACCTTCACGGATTGAGCCGCGGAGTTAATTCCAAACGATGAAACAGCGGCAGCGGCTTCTGGCGAGCAAAGAGACGGATGGAGAGAGGAGCTGATAGACAGGGCAGGGTGAGCAACCATAATGAGACTGTCTCAGTGGCTGCCTGATCAATGGACCTCTTGTTAGTCGAGAGCAAAATGGCTCCATAGCCCAATGCAGGTGGAGAGCAGGGAGGGCGGCTGTTTATTCAGCTCAAAGAACGAAGGCTTCTCAGTAATGGAGCATTTCATGGCTCACTGTGTTATTGTACGGCTGGTGGCAGCTTGGTCCCTGTGCCACATGAAAGATACAGTGCTGGGAAGAAATGGGCCTTCTTACAAATTTAGTCTGTTTTTCTTTTTTTGACACAGTTTTAGATCATATGCTCAAAGCTTTAGGTTGGCCCTTTCTTAAATATAGGGTCAAAATCATTGTTTTTTTTTTGTTTGTTTAGAAATATTTGAACTCAGGAACTTCGTGCTGCAACATTTCAATCAAATTTAGATCTGGTCTTTGATTCAGCAACTCAACATTTTTTTCAGACTCAAAGGTCTTCTTAATTATTTTGGATCATAGTCCTGCTAAGAAAAGCAAGTGAGGCAGAGCTTAAAGCTGCAGTACATATCTTTAAAAATATATATGATTTTTATATGTTTGTTAAAACTGTCACCATGTTGTGACAGTGCAATATGAGAGAAAAGATCTCTGTGAAAAGATCAATCTCCTCCCACTCAAAAACAACCAATCAGAGCCAGGAGGAGGGTCTTACTGCTATCAATCATGCTCATGTACATGCTCACCTCTCTAACCTCAAAACATAAAACATCAGAGGAGATTACAATTCAAAATCTGATCATTACAACTATAAAACTTTGACACACATTGTCCCTAAAATGCCAAATTTTCTTTGTGCAGTGTGATTTTTTTATTTTCTTGCAAGCAGAAACTTACTTTTACTTTGGCTTACTTAATTTCTGACTGGTTTGCAGGAGGCAACCAACCTTCATATGTGCAATTTTAATTTAAACCTGTTGCTCTCTTTGGACTTTAAGCCAGAGGTGTGCTTTGATGTTACAGTTTGTCTTGGGAAATCACTAGGAAATTGTGTGTTTCTCTATTACTGAAAGTGACACATGTGGCAATGGAGGAGTTGAGGAACACATCCAGTATGAACAACGCTTTCTTGTCTCACCAGCTCCTCACCCTGTGCACTTACGTTTTTCTGCAGCTGCTGATCCGCCGGCGCCCCCTGCTGTACGTGGTCGGCCTCCTCATTCCCAGCATCTTCCTCATGCTGGTGGATGTGGTGAGTTTCTACCTGCCTCTGAACAGCGGAACGAGAATTGCCTTTAAGATCAGCATTCTGCTGGGCTACACCGTCTTCAGGGTCAACCTGACAGACGAACTGCCTGCCACCGCTCTCAGGACTCCTCTCATCGGTACGACGTCTCCTCATGTTAAGAAAAACATTTTGTTTTCCACATCAATAGATTTAAACAAAGTTTAAATCTGTTTTTTAAATCATAAAAACAAATAGGAATCTTGTAATCCTAACACAGTTTAAATCCACAAACTGATGCAGGATAATTTGGATTACTTAGCATATCTTAAGAAGGAAAAATGGGGGATCATTTTTCAAAGTCAAATTTTTATCACGTTATTCATTAAATTAGAAATGTCACAGTTTTAAACTAAATATTTTATTAGCAATTAATATAGTTTTTAAACTAAATATTTAGCTAAAATGTAAATAGCTTGGTAAATCTCTGAGTTAAAGCTAAATATTCTATCAAGCTAAATATTTAGCATCAAAGTAAATATTTTCCTTACAAACTAGCTCTGAGCTAAATATTTTAGCTAATATTCACTTGCCGATAACCAGAAGTGGACTACCAAAATAAAAGCTCTGTCTCGTGATATAGAACTAACGTTTAGTTAATTTGCTAAATATTTAGCCCTGAGCTTGCTAGCTAAATGCTAACTGCTTTCTTTCTGATTAAATATTTAGTGTGGAACTGATGTTTATTACTGACGGACAAACATGGAGAAAACAACTTTTTCCTCTTAAGACGGGCTACATAACCCAAATTATTGCTGTTAATTTTTGACTGACTTTGCAAATGACACTCTATGGACCTTACCAAGCCCCGCCCAGAAACGCCCCTCGACAGTCCCACGTGGCTGCACGTCTCACAAACAAAGCCTCGCGGAGCTTAGTTTCTATGTGTAAACATGGCGTCTTTCATTTCGACCGACTCTCTGCAGAGTATTTCTGAGTCGATTAGTGTAGCATTTATGCCAGATTTTCAAAAAATATCAGCCACGACAATGGACAGGGGAACCAACAAGTTCATGTCATCTTTTATGGACATCAATACTGAAGCCACGGGATGCCTCCAACATTGTGCGCGTCACAGCGAAATGCTACCAGTCGATGAGGAAAACAGCAGATCCTCACACCCTCAGCATAAATATAGCTGTGGACAAGATCGGTGATGCCTATTGTTCTTGCAAGGCTGGGTAAGTCGGGCATTCATGGTTTTGAGGGTTACTTTTGAAATCAGTGATTTCTGTTGTTGGCACATGTTTGAGTGTACCTAGGCCTGATACACAGTACTAGGTGCTAGCGTGGCTATCACGATTACAGTTTAGTAAAAAGCCTTTTCAAGTAAAATAAAATCATTAATGTGTGTCAGATACGGTACACATTGCATATTGATCTGTTCAGCTAACGTAAGACCATATAACAGACAGGCTTCAAGGTGTAGAAGTTGTATCGGTACTGCCATTATGCTGTACTTAGCTAAAAGGTTTTCATAATGGATGTGTTTATTATTGACTTTTTTTCAGCCATTGTTCACACATTATAGGCCTCCTTAAGACCTTACAATATTTCAAGCTTCAAAATCCCAAAGGTATCGGGAGGTGCTGGTGCCTATCTCTAGCTAACGTTCCGGGCAAGAGGCGGGGGGACCCTGGACAGGTCGCCAGTCTGTCGCAGGCCACTCAAAATATCCCCATTCACTAAACATAAATAAAGCAAAGTAATAATACTTACACCAGCACACACTCCTTTGTTCTTATTGATCCGACGGTTGAGCTGCAAATGCGGTCGTGCACAAGCTTTGATCCAAGCTAGGTATTCCATATCATATTTGGGAAATCTGTGAATTTTATTTCCACAAATACGATCAGGATACCTGACATCACCTGTACAGATTCCCCACTGACAGTGGAGAACCATTCTTATTTGAGTTCTGTCGCAAAAACTTTGATTGTGTAGATTGTGGTCTGCTAGTCCACAATCTACATTAGCATGTGTATACTACTTTAGCTTTTGTTTGTGAGACGGTCAAGCACGTAGTAGCTGCGCAGTGACGTCAAATGGGCATTAGCCAATGAAACTCGGACCCTGTGGTAAGGTCCATTATTATGCATGAAAGAACCATTGCTGTAAGAAGTTAAACGGAAAATTTAAGCAAAATTATGTGTTTAAAACTAAGAAACTTTTGTTTCGAGAAAATGACCTTGTCCTAATATCAGAACAGCAAAAGCAGCAGGTAAAGTCACTGTATGGTTGAAAAGGAGAAATTGCTGGAATTGTCCTGGCAAACCAGAAAACACTTTTCTCTGCCTCTTTGGGATAATTGATCCGCTGAGTGAAATAACAGGAAGCTGATCGGATCTGATCTCCTTTCAGGTGTGTTCTTCGTGGTGTGCATGGCCATGCTGATGCTCAGTCTCATCAAGTCCATATTGGTGGTGAAGCTGCTCCATCACAGCGAGAAAGAGGTCAAGCAAATGTCACTGTCTGCCTGCCTGCTGGACCGGTACGGCTCAGCCGGCCACAGCCTCAGCGAGAGCGCTTTGACCTCCATCAAAACCCTCGACAACATCTACGCGCCTGGAGGTACGCAATAAGCTTTAAGACCGATCATCTATCAGCGGGACAGCAGAGATATCTGACACCTTTCTGTCTTCACTCTACAAATAACAATAAAGACTTTCTGTGGGGAAGTTCAGCCTAGCACGACACTTCTGCCATTTTCAACGGCCGTTTTGCTTCCCTGCATGTGTTTGGATTAAATAACAGGGAAGAGGATAAAACGTGTAAAAATGCTGAGCTTTTTCTGAGTATACAAACTGTAAACTGAGAAATCTTACTATAATCTCAAAATTCTGACTTTTATCATATGAGATTAAAATTAATCTTTTTTTTTTCTAATGACCCCGATCTTCTTCCAATGAATCTGCTAGTTAAACCTTATTCTTACATTTTCACAGATTATGAGCTTGAAAGCTCCCTGGAGGAAGATCTCCTGTCCCTGAATGACGTCCCAGATCCTCCGTCTGGACTGGAGTGGCTGCTCCAGGAACTGGTTTCCCTTCGGATGGCTTTTTCCCAGGAGGACAGCGAGTCTTCAGCTCAGGCCGAATGGCTGTCGCTCTGCCTGCGGCTCGACCGCTTGCTGTTTCGCTTTTACCTGCTGGTTTTAGCCGTGTACACCGGTACGCTGCTGCTGCTGTGGGCCAGATGGAGCTTCACTTGAGCTACAGCACAAATACGATCACTTGGTGGTTCGGTTCAACAACACTGATTGGGAAACTCGTTCAGAAGAGAAGTCATCTGATTTGGACAAACTCATTGTAAATGGTATTACTAAGTCATAGATTTTGTAAACAGTTATCTAAAAGTTTTACATTTCTTTGCTTTTCTAAAAAAATGACCATGCTTTGGAGGCTCTGAACTCCCTTTTATTGCAAAAAGTGATTGAACAAGAGCTTTTAGATGCTCTCATTTACTCCTACAAATTTCAGTCTGTATTGTTTTTGTTTTGTTGCGTCTACTAAATAATATTTTTTGTTTTATCAAGTTTCAGTTGGCTTCTTTTGTATGACCTGCAGAACAATCTGCAGTCTTAGTAGCCCCGGATTCAAGTTCAGACTTTGACACTAAGAAGCTAGGGATGTATATTTTTGATGTAGAAATATTTAATTGGCAAAATTAAACTTTAACTTCTCATTGGTTATTTTAATGCATGGCATTCCAAAGGGTTCTGTTCTTGATCCTGTTTAGTTTGTGTCTTATTTGTTTCCCTTGTCTTATTTTATATGATCATCACCAGGTAATGTCAGAAGCTTTTTTTGTGGTGAGTCAAGCATCCATCAGGCATCTGCAGGTGACGAAAAATGCTATTATATGTATTTTTTGCATTAGCATTTGGCACTATTTAATAGTTTGACTCCAATATATTTATTTTTTGTGTATTTTTGTGTCATTTGCATAGAAATTTGTGAACCACTTTGAAGTGCTTCATTAATAAAGGCAGCGTGTTATTACTATCTGAGACATCTCCAGTCACTGGTACGCTGATGACATTCAGCTTTGTTACTACTGTACATTTTAAACCCTAGAGAACTCTAAAGCTTTTCATAAGGCCATAACATCCTGGTTGTTAGAGGTCAACAAAAACAAAACAGAGGCTCTTATTTGGTCGGCACTAAAGATTTTTTTATCTAAAAAAAAAAAACATCAATAAAGTTTCCTCCATGTGGGAGGATGAGTTATGCTCTCATGACACCAAACATGAACGTCTGGGCCTCAATTTCAAAAATTATGAAACAAAAACATCACAGAGAGTCATCGTAATCACAGCAGAACATGGTGGCAGCATCATAATATGGGGTTACCTTCTCTCAGGTGGATTTTGAGTTATTTTTTGTCATCACAGATGCAAATGTGAATAGTTAGAAATCCTGGAAAGCAGAAAATTGAACAAGGATTTAGTTTTTCAGTCTATAGATGGATGCAGAAAATGGTCACGTTAATGATGTGACAGCAAAGACAGAAAACTGAAATTCAATTCAAGTTTTAGTTTAAGTTTGTGCTCAAAAAACATTCTTGCAACTTTGTTTGTTTCTTGCAATTTTCCTCCAAACAGATTTATTTGTTTCACAGTTGAAGTGAACAGGAAACATTTCAGAATAAAAATGGAAAAAAAAGGTTTTTAAAAAGGTTGTCTTAGTTTTTTTTAATCAACTTAAAATCCAGATTTTTGTAAATAGGGTGTGATGAACGCTTTTTAGGGTTCTTTCAGCATTATGTCGCCTAGAACAAACTTTATGTTATTCTTTTTATATTAATCTGACATATTTGTTCCTTGTGTCTTCAAGGGTCACTTTTGTTTAAATCAAATGAGTTCTTTAAAAAAATGAGTCACATTAAACTCTCCCCTGCTCATTCTGTTATTCTTCCTGGTCTGTCATTATGTTTCCGGACAGCAGTGATTCACTCAGAGATACGGTCCGACACTGAATCTCTCTGGAGAGAATCCCTCACCGTCCGTGTGCTGTTACCATATCATTTTCATACTTTAATCTCGGTCCACCCGCCACAAAACAGATCAGTAAAAACCATTAATATCTCAGCTGCTGCAGCTCTGCTCCCCGTTGGTTTTTTAACAGCCATGATAAGAATATTAAAAGTGCATTTACAGGAAAGCAGCTGCTGGAACAATCCATGGTAATGCAATTCTGGAGATATTGGCAGTGGATCAGGTGACGCTGTGTTATGCAATAAAGACCTAAGAATTTATAGCTGCTTTATACTGATTACTGTCTTATCTCCAGTAATAAGAGAGTAGAATTTATATTCTGTGAATTTGTGTTGCTTTAAATATAAATCACAAGTTTTTTTTTTATGTTTGGCCTTTTATAACACAAAAAAGACATTCTGCTACTGCAAGTCCTGCTGTGCCACGATACCGCAACTTCTATCCTGCTGCAACACCTGAGTCAAATAACTGCATAATGAACAGGCCTTGGCAAAACCTGCTGACAACCCAAAGAGATAATTAAGCTTTTTGATTCAGGTGCTTCGGAGCAGAGATGCATCCAAAGGTTGCAGGAGAGTCGCAGTCGAGGATTCGGTTTGCAGACCTCGGCTTCATAGGAATGAGATTTTTCAGTCAAAATGTCAGGTGACAGAAATGTTCTTCATGCTGAAATAATCATATTAGTCGGTGGGACTTCCTTTGTGACATGCACACATTAAAAACAAAAACAAAAAGTCTTAATAATATGCTCCATCTTCAGAGATGTTTGGAAAACTAAGGAAACACACATGTGAAAGATCTTCTTGGAGATTTTTCTCCCTGTCAGATTTCTCCTGCATCAGTTAAATCAGTGTTTTTCATTGTGGTGGCCTCAGAAAGTTGGAGGAAAGACGAACCAGCTAGCAAGAAATAGAAAAAAAATCTGACATGGAAACGACCGAAGGAACCAGCTCTGCGAAAGAACCATGAGAACTGTAGGAATAAAATTAAATTTCATCCGATTAATATAAAATATTACATACATTGATAGTGAAAAGTTTTTTTCTTTGGTAATAAATTCATAATATGATAACATTTTCTGCCACAGAGTTCCTGGCCATCTAAAAATCAGATGGTATCAGGCAGAATTTATGTTAAATGGATGCAATAATGACTGAACAGTGAGTAAAAAACATTCTAATACTTGATGTTTCTTTACATGTTTTGTCTGTGGGTTTACAGAGGGGGTCCCCGGCCACAGGTTGATGCTCTTTGGGGGAAAGTTTGGGAAGTCTTGCGCTAAATAACTTAAAGTATATCAAAAACTGAGCTTTAATTTTATTTATTGAAGCAAAACAAAACAACAACAAAAAAAAAAAACAGATTTTCCTGTAAATATTTGGTATTTTGCCAAAAATACCTTTGGAGCAGAAAAAAAGACATACTGAATTTTACTTTTTAATCCCATAAAAACCTCTAAGTTAATTCATTTCACTCAGCTCCAGCTGTCATTTCTCAGACATGATGTGAGATCTTTAGATGGACTTTTTGCTGCGGTCACCTCAGTGAGCTGCTGCTTTATGGAGCGGAGAGGAGGGGCTTCACATGGATATGCCCTCCAGCCCACTGACACCAGCAGGGTTTCATAGTGGAAGTGGATGAAGTGATGCGTGAAGCTGATGGATATGGAGGATAAGGGAGTCGGGCTTCCCGAGGTCTTCCATCAGAACGACAGGAGAGCCGTCACAGCAGCAGAGACCCAGGTCGGCTCTGAACATGAGGCTGTCATCGGGCTGGACGGCGCTTCTTTACCTGCTGCTCCATGGAGCTGCTACCTTCTGCACAGGTACACTACACTCTACTTTAATACACTGTAAAAACTGAAATATTAACGCCGACCTAAGATTAAAGCACCAGATTCAGTCTTAGTGTCCGCAGAACGTTCAGAAGTCATTTTCTAATTGTTAAAAGCACATTTTTGTCTGTTGAGTAAATAAATAAATATTTATCAACAGCATGTCTAAATTTGAGAAATTATTCAGGTATGAACAATGCAATTAATTTCTGAAAATGCTCAGACTAGTATAGTTCTGTCAAAATTATTGCTCAACAATAATACTGACAAAAATTTTAATCAGTACAAATGATTAGTTTACTATAACTTGTGATTTATTATTTGATTATAAATAAATAATAAATCAAAAGAATGTTGCAAGGTGGGTATTTTGTTTTGCAAATATCTATTAATATAGTTTAAGTTACTCAAATGTAACTTTAGAAAATATTCACTACTACTCATTTTGCTATTTGTGAAAACAAATTGGGGTTTAAATTTGACCTTAAAGCAACAAAAGGGAAAAATCCATAACTCATAAAATGTTAAATTTAAACAAATGTTTGTAAGTTGTCCACAAGTATGTTCACCATGTTTGATGGAAGTAAAAGTTGTTGAGAAGTTTTAGCTGAACTTTGATCTTGGGATTTTTTTTAACTTGCAGTTTAATTTTACCAAAAGTAATTCACTAAATCAAAGATAGTCCCCGAAAAGTACAGGAAATTCATTTTACCTTGCTTCCGATAAGAGGTGATTTAAGATTTTTCAGCTTATTTTCTGATTTCGTCAAGTTTTAGTTGACAGATTTTCTGATTTCACAGGTAGAAGGTGTTTGGGCTGCAAAATTAAGTGAAGCTCCAAAATCTTTTTGATAACTGATTACATTTAACAAAGAGAACATCCAGTCAGATAAGTAACATAATTTAAAAACTGTATTTTATATTTACTTTGGTTATATTTGGCAAATATTAACATTCATTTCAGGATCTAAAACATGCACGTGTGGCAAAAAGACTGAAGAAATTTAGGGAGATAATACACTTTTTATTGTAACAGATTTAGTAAGGCTTTAATACTTTATATTATATTAAATCACTTTTTTACTGTTTTGTCCCTTTTACAACAACAAGTGAATGTTAGCAGAATAAAATGTCCTTTGTTGGTTTTGGTGTGAAGTAACCGCTGAGTTATAATTCTGCAGAAAAAATAAGCAGTGAAAGCATCAATGTTTTCTTTGCGTTGAGGCCGCTGACAGAAAATCCACTGTGAATGTCTCTAACAACCCAAGAGATCCACACATACAAAGAAATCAACACAAATTAGTCTATAAATTAGTTGAAATAAAAGGAAATGTCAGCAAGAGAAAAGCATTGAGCTTAAATGTGTTCCACGCTCAGCAGCTTTCGTTGGTAATAACACAATCAAAATGTTTCCTGAACGGAGAAACTGGTGACATGCATTATTACTCAGGTGACCAATTCTTCCACTCAAACTTTCATTAAATCTCAAAGGTTTTCTGCTTTTGTGTCACTGAAAAAATATCCGGTTTTGTTATTAGATTCTTATGAAGAACATTAATATACATTCCTCAGCTCCTCCATCCTTCAGTTATGTGAGATCTGCCTCCACCTTCAAATTTCACATTTATTGTGGTTTTTGAGGGTTAGGTGGAATGAAATTTCCCTTCGAAACATGGTGTAAACAAACATATCCAAAAATTTGAGATTTGGTCTTTGGTCTTTAAGGAAGCTTTAGGACGCTTTTTGTCAGCAGTGGAGTCTTGTGCAGTGAAAGCCTAAATAAGCTATGGTGATTGAGTGAATCTCTTGCTGTTTTCATGGATAAGCTGGACCTGTCAATGGATAAACAGACAGATTATTGAGATCAGCAGCTGGTGGTGGCTGGTTTATGGTGAGATTATGTTCTCTGCACATACAGATTTTGCCCCCAGTGATGTGCAATGGTAAATTTAAATGATTAAAAGTATATCTGTGGGTTGTGCTGTGGTGGCTCAGGGGTTAAGCACAACCCACATATGGAGGCCTCGATGCAGCTGTTGCAAGTTTGATTCCTGGCCTTGACGACCTTTGCTGCATGTCTTCCCCCTTCTCTTATTACCCACTTTCCTATCAATTAAATATCGAATAAAGGCCACTAGAGCCAAAAAAATCTTTTAAAAAAAAGTATATCTGTACCGTTATATTTAGTTTCTTGTGTTATAAATTGGCAACAAGAAACCTTTTTTTTTAATCTAAAACAGCTGAGTTTTTTTTCTCTCAGTGATAGGAAAAAAAGCAGATGTCAGTCAATTTCTATTCTTAGCTTTATTTTTTCATATATTTAGTGCATGAATCCCACTTTAACACATGACATAATTTGCAAACATTTCCATGATTTCTGTTCATGTGTGGATTACCACGGTTGCTACATGCCTCTAGTGGGAATTTAATTTTTGTCTGTTCTAATGTGAAGAGCATTTTTCCTTCCTGTTGATCCACATGTGAACGTAAATAATTTGCTGTTTTCCAGTTAAAAAGCCGCCCAGTAACCCTGGAAGGTTTGCCAACGCCACCTTGGTGCGGCTGGCTGACTTCCTGAGCACTGGATATAAGAAAGGAGTGAGACCTGTGAAGGACTGGAGGACGTCCACTATTGTTGCCATAGACCTCATGGTTTACTCCATCCTCAATGTGGTGAGTTCTGCTCACAGTTCGGTGGTTCAGGAATACCTCTGGACTGATCAACGTCTTACTGGCACTTAAGCAACGTGACAGATTTTAGACTCTCCTGTATTTCTGTATCTTAATAAAGGACGAGAAGAACCAGGTATTGACGACATATGTGTGGTACAGACAGGTAAGAGCAATGACTATTGAACCGTCTGAGTTAGGGCTGGGTAATATGGCTGACAAAAATGTCACAGTATAAGCATTTCATATCAGTGGATATCGATAATTATTAATTTGTTTTTCTGTTATAAATATATGAAATCCTACCAAAACTGGTGACCTTTTCACTCCACGCCGGTGTTTATTATCTTTAAAACGTTATGAGACACGGTAGCAATACCTTAAGCTGATGCTGCGCAAGTTGCTCAACAGATTGTTGCTAGGTAACCAAAGAGTGAGTGAGTTGCCGAGTTTCCTCTGCCTACAGCCCCCAGAATGCTGTGTGGTTCTGGATGGGAGTTCAGTGAAATTATTGAACATTCTTTCAAACATATTAGCCATTGATATTGATGATGTGTCTATTGTGATATATATTGTTATTGATTAATTGTCCAGCCATAGTCTGAGTGAATAACTACTTATTGATATTTTGTGAAAAACAATGTTTTAATCTCTAGAGATTGGAAAAAAATAAAAAATAAACAAACTTCAAGCAGACAGTGGGCCCTTCAGATGAAGTAAAATATCTTGGTGTTTTATTTAATTTGATCCAAATCTGAATTAACTGTTTCAGTGCTCTCATGTTTTAGATTTCATCATAAATAAAAATGCAATTTTGTGTAAATTTTTATTCTTATTGATTAGGTACTTTTTTTTTCTAGTGTTTTAGAATTTCAATCTTTCAACAGTGTTTATGTCTGATTATATTGATCAGGTTATTCTTCTTTGTTTTATGCACTATAAGTGTATAGCAACTTCTCTGCTGTTAGAATCTGATTATTTATGGTGTTGAATCTTTCAGTCATGGACAGATGAGTTCCTGGTGTGGAACCCAGAGGATTTTGATGAAGTCAAGCAAGTCTCCCTGCCTACAGCTAACGTCTGGGTTCCTGACATTCTCATCAACGAGTTGTAAGAGATTTCCTTCACTTTGGCCCTTCTGCCGCGCTGAATGTGATCATACAAACATGGTTTTGCATTTGCTGTGTGTGACTGGCAGCGTCGATGTGGGGAAGTCTCCAGATATTCCTTATGTCTACGTTACACACGAAGGTCTGGTGCAGAACTACAAGCCCATCCAGGTCGTCACCGCCTGCACACTCAACATCTACAACTTCCCGTTTGACGTCCAGAAATGCAGCCTCACCTTCCAGAGCTGGCTCCACACCAGTAAATCAGCATTTATTCACAGAGGAAATACAAAATGTTAATTGATTGGTTGAGATCAATAGCAGTGCTGTACAAACACAGACTTGCATCTCTACAAAGTTAATTTCTTTTTGCTTTGCTTTTCTCACTTAAATGTTTCAGATCATCAAACTCATTTTAACATCAAAGATAACCTGAGTAAATATAAAATGCAGTTTTAAAATGAGGATTTCCATGGAGGCTGAGAAGTGCAAATGTGATGCGCTGCTAACACACGAATGATGCAAATCCGAAAACACACACACACACACACACACCCACACACACACACACACACACAGACACACACACACACACACACACACACAAACAAACATCAAATCTGTCGCAATAGACAATAACGCTACAATCTCAGATAGTATATTCACTGCAAAGCAGTGTAAACAGAATAAAACTAGAGTAAATATTTTAGTACACTTAAAATAAGACAAAACTACCAAGTAACTTTTCCGCAAGATATATTACCTTGTTTTAAGTGAGTAATTCCGTAATATGAATAAATATTGTTATTTTAAACTTATAACAAGACATTTTTTCCCATTTTATAAGTGGAACTAGGACTTTTTCACCAATATTAATAAATTATTGATTTGAAACAAACTCCTATATCTTGCTGAAAAGTTATTTGTAAGTTAGTTTTATATGATTTCAAGTGTACAAAGATATTTGCACTGCAAAGTAGACCAAAAATAATTGGTAGGATTTTGTGTTTTTGCAGTGTTCTGTTTATTGAGATGCAATATGTTTTCTTTGAACATAAAATTATTTTTTTATTTTTATGTTTTTGCTTTAAAATTTAAATCTTAGATCTTTTAAAAGACAAAAAAAACAAACAAAAAAAACAGAAAATGACAGATTTCACCTCCAAACCAGCACACTGCATCCCGGTTGTGTGCAGAAGCGTTGTTGTTTTGTCTGGCTCCTCCTGCTGTGGTTTAGGCTCACAGAGTGGAGGGGGTGAATGAGAGCGGACATGTTGTCAGGCCTGCTTCGAGCTGCTCCAAACATTGTGTTTGATCTGCAGTCGATGACATCAACATCACCCTGATGCGAAGCCCGGAGAAGCTCCGGGACGACAAGAGCGTCTTCATGAACCAGGGAGAGTGGGAGCTGCTGCACATTCTGTCCAATTACAAGATCTTCAGCGTGGACAACGACGACTACTATGCAGAGATGAAGTTCCACGTGAGTGTGCAAGGAAAAACTACTGAGAATAAATATTAAATGTTTCTCAACAGATTGGAAACATCAAACAGGACAAATATCTTTTAGACATTTGCTTGTTTTACGTTTTGTATTGCGCAGTCTGATGAATTTTGGGTTTGGAGCTTATCTAGACTTATTCTCAGGTCACACATTCAGTGCGTAAATTAGTAACAAATTAAAGTTTAAACTGTTTTTTGTTCTGTCAGCCAGGCTTCTTGTCCGGCCTAACATGCAGCTGCTTTCCCCAGGTGGTGATCCGACGGCGGCCGCTGTTTTACACGGTGAACCTGCTGCTGCCCAGCGTCTTCCTGATGGTGATGGACATCGTTGGTTTCTTTCTGCCTCCAGACAGCGGAGAGAGAGTATCCTTTAAGATCACTTTGCTGCTCGGCTACTCGGTCTTCCTCATCATCGTATCCGACACTCTGCCTGCCACAGCCATCGGGACGCCACTGATAGGTGACCGGGGTTCACGAAGTCTAAAAGGAGTTTCCATTTAACCAAAAGACTATTTCATTACCTCTAAAGAAATGCAACATCATTCTGAGTGTTTTTTTGTTTTGTTATTGTTGTTTTTGTGCAAACAGTACATATCCAAAACTAATTTACTCAATGCAGCATATTGAATTATTTATATTGAATTGTTCTGTCTCATTTTAAATCATATCAGATTGTCTCAGGTCAAATATTTCAACATGGTCATGCATTACATCAAACCTAATCAAACTGCATCACGCTATGCTATTATATTATTTTATACTGTCGGATGTCAAATTATTACAAGTCATATATCATTCAAAACTATTTTATTTTGTATTGTAAAATATTCTGTTGAGTTAAGTTGCGGTGTAGTATATTTAACTACATCATATCAAAAAGCATCAAATTATGTATTATTTCAGATTTTTACTGTATCACATTGAATTTGGACAACAACTATGTATCCAACCCAACAGGAAAATAATGAATACTTGTGGTTTTTTTTTTTATTTTTAACAAAAGTCTAATTTTCAGCACTACAGAAATTACAAACACAACTCTTTACTGTGCAGCAAGCTAATGAGATGCTACAAACCCGTGGTTAAAATGATTCCAGATTGTATATCATCTCATGTATCTCACCTAACTTGGCAATGTATCTTATCACATTATAATGTATTATTTCATTTCATATTATATGTTCACATTCTATAGCGTGTCAACTTTAAAATGATTGAAACCTGTGGAAGACCTATGTTTCCAGTAATCTTTGGATTTGACCAACATTAATGTCAAAACATTGGAAGTTGAGGAGAAGCAAAGCCAGATGGCAAATAGCAGAGGTCTTCCATTTCACATCATATTGAAACCAAGTTGCATTGTACTGTATCTCCAAAGCCGTCAATCTTTGTGCTCTTACCTGGTCCTGCAGGTGTGTACTTCGTGGTCTGCATGGCTCTCCTGGTGATCAGCCTAACAGAAACCGTACTGATTGTACGTCTGGTCCACAAGCAGGATCTGCAGCCACCCGTCCCCCACTGGGTGAAATACCTTATCCTGGAAAGAGCTCCGGTTCTCTTCTGCATCCACAAAAAGCACCGCTTCTGTGCGAGGCTGTCGTCTCAGGCTTCAGAGCTGGACCGCTCCAAGGAAAACAACTACGGGACGGGTAAGGTAACAAAGCCTCTCCTATAAAAGTTTAAATCAATTTCATTTCATTTCACTTTATTTTGCCTTTCATTCACTCAATAATAACTATGAGTAGTTCATGTAACAACTATAAACAAAACAACTAATGAAACAGAGGAGAAAGAAGCATAAACTTATAATATTCACACCTATTCACATTCAAGGAAAGTTAGCTATTCAGCTCAGAAGACAACAATGACGTATTTGGGCTAATGTAAATAGAAAAAAAAATTGAATAATTTTCCACCAAAAAAAATCTCAGAAATTGTCTAAAAAATAGAATAAAATTTCTGAGTCTGAGAGGTAAAAAAATTGCTAGAAAAAACTCTGAAATTTGAGATTAGCCTCAGAAATTTTCTTGAAGAAACTTGGATATTTTCTAAGTTTCTTAAGCTTAAAATTTTCTGAGTTTTTTCTAGAAAATATCTGAGATCTCAACATTTTTTAAACTTTTTCTAGCAAATGTTTTACTTTTCAAACTCGACTTTTCAGGTAAAATTTTTTTCTACAATATTTCTGAGATTAATCTAAAAAGAATCTGGTTTTTTTTTGTCTATTCTAAATGTTCCATTTGTTCACGCTGTCTTGTCCTTTCGTCAGTCACGTCATCTACAACAGAATCTTTAGATCTTTTGAATAGAAAAATTGGTTTCTGAACTAAAAATTATTTCTGAATGAAACTTTTTTTTTTCAAATTGTCACCTTTAACTTCAAAATCGAATCATTAGATACTGAAAGATTTGCATCTCTATTTTAAGTTCTACCCCACACTTCCACACAATATGTCAGATCTAGCGAAATAAGAATCAATCTTTGAGCTGCTTTAATATTTTCTTCCTAACCAATTGCTTTATTCATAGATGTAAGAGGCTAAATAATAAAATTACACCTTTGTCTCATTCTGCAGCCCAGTGCTCCCTCCACCACACCTGTGAGATAGGCCAGAGGCTCAGCCAGCAGGACAGAGAGAGTGGGATGCTTGGACTTCGCCTGGCCCCATCCAGGGACAACACTCCGCCCGTCATGGACAACATCCTCCAAGAGGTGATGGCCATTCGGCATTTCCTGGAGAAGAGGGACCGGTGTCGGGAAATCGCCAAGGAGTGGCTCCAGGTCGGCTACGTGCTGGACGTGCTGCTCTTCAGAGTTTACCTAGTGGCCGTGATCGCCTACAGCATCACACTGGGCACTCTGTGGTCGGTCTGGCAGGTGGCCTGAGTTTCGCCCCTCCACCCAGTCAGCGTAGGTCAATCACAAATAAGTATATCAAGTATAAGTGGCTGAAGCTCATAGGATAAAGGAGGCATTCATGAATAGAGAAATAACTCCTCTAGATGAGGCCACCATGTAAATTCAGAGGACGAGACACTAAAATGTCCTCGTAAACGTTGTAATTTAGGCCTAATCTGGTAGTTTGAAGGCATATGACTCAAAAGTAACAAGAGGGGCTTCATCAGGAGGAACACAAAAGCTTTTCTGAGACGCTCCAAAGGCACATTGGCATTCTGTCCCAAACTGTTTCAGGTGCAGTTAATACGGATCATTACAGGGGATAAAACAGGGATAAAACAGTGAAGTCAAAGCTAAGTTTTATTCCAGATATCTACTGAGTTGAAGAAAACAATGATACGACTAGGAAATGAAAAACAATCATCTGAAGAGGAGAAATAATAATAAACTTAGTTACCAAAGGAGAAAATATATAAGAAAAATCTCTGAATATATAAATGGACGCTAACGTTTGTCCTATATTGCTACACAATTAATGACTTAATATATGCAAATTGGTAACAAATTCTTTAGGAATGCTTTTTGCATTTAGACCTTCCTGGATCTGAAACTTAGGAAATGTGAAGTGGGACAGTTTTTGGAGAGCTACACATTAAGGCTGTTGACACAAAGTTTCTTATCTCTCCACATGAAATATAAAACAAACAAACAAAAAAACCGGACAGCTTTAATATTACTTGCAGATTTAAAGCAGTTTAAGATTTAAAAAAGAGCTCTGCTCAACTTAGTGATTTTTCAGTAGATAAATGTAGATATATGAAATGATATATAAGCAGACAAAGAATGTGTGTTATAATAAAATATTTAATCTCTTTGTTGCGAATTACTACAGACTACAACTGTAGGCAGCAGTTTCTGGTTCTCTCTCTGTTCTGCCTGTCCCCCACAGCAGCGGACAGGAAGCTACAAATACCCAATATGCTGGCATTTATATAGCAAAAGTTAGCTAGACTCTGCATATTAGCTAAATTTAGCTAATGCTAGAATATAAACTTATGTTAGCTCGCTAACTTTGGCTAATCTTGTAATCTGAGCTAACTCGTAGAGAGCCAAAACTTGACTTTTACGTTCTCATCTGAGGTTAATGTACATTTTGCATTGACTGATGCTGGAAAATACAACTTGGCTAACATGGTGTAATACAGCAAGACAGTAACAATGATTTTTTTTCAGTGCAACAGTGTGCACATACATTTTGGTTGTGTTTTTGTGCCAACGGAAAGTAATGCTGTGTGTAATGACCGGGAAAAAAAATGCTGTAAACATTTCTACTATGTTCTAAAATATATCTTCAATTTTGAAGACATATTAAAAAGACAAATTTAACATAAAATCATTTTATTCCTCTCCAATTGTCTTCATGTAACTGTGAGCATGATTTAAGAAAAGATACATTAACAGAAACAAAGAAACAATTGAATTTTCAGGTTATTGAGTGTATAAATAAATAGTCTTGACACAAAATAAATGATAGATTAAGCATTTAATAAGAAAAACTTACCACTGATGTTTTAACTGTATTATTTACCAAACTGCTCTTTCTTGCAACCATTATTATTTAATAGCAACTCTAACAAAATTCTGTTATGTCTTGGTGTATAAAATGTATACTACAGTTTACTGGTTTCCAGATTATCTGTAACTTTACCAGCAGCCTGTAGTTCACACAGTGACCACATGATGGCACCATGTACAACAACATCCCCCTCCTTCTACAGCACCCACCCACATGTGAACCCTATTTTTCAATCAAAAGGACTTTAATATTGTCCCTCTGATTAAAAGGAGAAAATGTCAGAAATATAAAGGAGTTAGGGATTTACTGCACTAAGTGATTAAAACACTCTGGCTCTTAATTAAATGTGTTGAAAGTGATCAAAGAATAGAAACAAGAGGAAGAGTGTTTAGACATGTGGGTCAGAGATCAGACCTGAAAACTCCCTCCTTAACAAGCCTAACAAACCATTCACCAACCCCTTCCTTCCTAATGCCCCAAAATAAGATCAAAGTGACACCAAAGCAACAGGTCCAACAGAACCGCTCACAATGACTTTTCCCTCCTTATTTCCTGTTTTTGTTTTCTGTCAAAATCCTGAAAGAGAGGCCTCATTAGTTTCCAATACGCTGTAGCCCAGAGATCTGATTGTGAGTGCGTCACATGGAGGAAATGAGTAAATATTGGAGCGATATTAGGGCACAGTGGAGACACTTTGATGTGACATGGTTTTCATATGTAAAATAAAAAGGCATCCACACAGATTTGACTGAATATTTCATATTAGTGATTTGTGCTTGCTTCTTCTCAACGGCGGAGAGAAAATATTCCCAGAACACACGTCCTGCTGCCTCACCTGAGTACAGAAAATTGTTCATGCATTTATTTGAATGAATTAAAGGTCATTTGTCTGCTTTTCTGGACAGACATTTCATGATACGATCCTAGGACTCCATCAGCTGTGAAGTAAACATTCACTTCAGTAAATGTGGTAAAAGAAAACAAACCAACAAAAAAACAGGCTGCTAAAGGTGTTGCAAATTGTACCTAAAACTCTCTCCTGAAGTAAAAAAACAACAAAAAAACCCACTTTTTTTTTCCTGAACATAAAACTTAGAAAAGTTTCTTTCTTCCCTCTGAAATGCTTCAAGATGTTGCTCCGCCTCAACGGGACTGGAATATGGGTCAAGGTTGGCTGTGACTGTGTTGCTATAAAAGGCCTTTTCTAATTACATTATCTGCAAACCTGCGAGCAGTTTTTTGAAATATCTCATTCATAAAGCTGAATGTATATAACTTTTATTATATATATATATATATATATATATATATATATATATATATATATATATATATATATATATATATATATATATATATATAAAATTTTTTTAAGCATTTGTTGAAACTGTCACAGAATCATGACAGCTCCTCTGCTTTGTTCTAGTGTTAACTAGAAACAACCAATCAGAGCCAGGAGGCGGGTCTTAGTGCTGTCAATCATCATTGTTTACTTTACAGTGTGTTCCAGACATCAGAGACTATTGTGAATGCTCAGGCTTGTAAGCATGGCCTCCAATGACAGATGAATAGATGAATGAAATGATGAATAATTGGTAGCATGAATGACAAGAAGGGTAGATTGATGAAGACTGATGAAGGGATAGTTGGCTAAATGAATGATGTCTGGACAGATGAAGAGATGAATGGATGGACAAACCGATGACAGAAAGGCAGACAGATGGAGGTATATAATTAAATAAGACAAATGTCTTTCATACATTTCTGGTTTGACGTGAACACTGAAGAAAAACTCAGACATTTTTCACACTATTTTGTATATTCTGCAAACTTTGAAAAAAACTTAGATCAACTTCAAAATCGTTGGAAGAATCTATTTTTTTATTTGGATGTTATATTATGAGCTTTGATTTTTACTGCATTGCTATGAATCCCATTAGTAAGTTGCTTTGGATAAAAGCATAAACGTAGCAAAACTTATTGATGAATAACTAAATATGGATATAATCCCCTGCCGGAAGATAAACTGGCACTAATATTTTATCACATGAATCAGGTTGGTTTTTAAAATGATAATAAGCATTTTCATCTCAAACAATGGTCTCAGAGAAAATCCAGGGGTGTGTCTGGAGGTGGCACACCCCTGTGATATGATTGGCTGAGACCGTCCCTGCCTCTTTGTGCCGGGTTGTGCTTCTATGAGCAGCTGCTGAGCCACCAGATTATTTTCAGTGCCTCATGTGCCGTCGCTGCTCTTCCCTCAGGTTTTATTCAGCGCAGGAGGAAGGAGCAGGATATTATTTTCAATGTTTTAAAAAAAATACTCTGAATGCTGTAATATCTCAGAGCCTTGAAAATGAACTACTCCATATTTTCATGACATCAAAACTGAATAGTTTAATGCAATGTTCTCTAACCAGAGTGGATGGAAAAGATCTTAACATCAATCTGAACTTTGACTGGACCCCTCTAATATATATATATATATATATATATATATATATATATATATATATATATATATATATATACATTTAGATCTGTGGTTTCGAATCGTGGTCCATTATCCTGCATGTTTGAGGCGTTTTCTAGCCTCCAAACAGCCAACTTAAATTAATAATTAAATTAATGAGATTTATTTTTTACTTCACAATTACTCTGTACTTTGTGATAGTGTGTTACATAATAAAATTCACCAAAGTTTGCTATGCTGAACAAAATTACGAAAAAAACAAACAAAAAAACAATTAAATAAATAAAGTTATACCCTTTGGTGTTCAGTTCACCCTGAAACAGCTCTTTGACTGAGTTTATTTAAGGTGTTGGAGTTGGACAAACTGCTGCATTAAAAAAAAAAAAAGAAAAAGAAAACGTTTGATGAGAACAGTGAAAGAAGAAACGTCATGGGGATTAACTTCAAAGCATCTTCCATGCATGCATAATTAATACATTTGTATGTGTTTTTGCATACGGTATTGTTGCTACAATTTTTCCCGTATGCTTTGAGAAAACTACTAGAAATATATATATATATTGGTGTCACTCAAATAATTTTTATTGGTCTAAAACTTTAGCACACTTACATAGTGTCCCATTTTATTTTCACAAAGACTGCATTGACTTGCATCCATCTTTGATTCATTTCTATAACCGGACCCTAAACCAGGGGTGTCCAAACTTTTTGACACGAGTCAAAATTGTCACGTCAGAACATGTGAACCTGATGAGTGTAATAGCTTTAAAAACTAAAATTATTGAGTAACATTGTGATTTATTTCAACGTAAAAATAAATCACAATACATTAAAGTGTAACCTACTCGATAAGCTAAGCATGCTAAAGTTTAAATTAAATTGTCAGATTTTTATAGGGAGTGGATGTGCACTCAAAAATTAAAAAGGGGTTTGCATGTTTGTTTTATAAGAAAGAAAAACATACAAAAAAAAAAAACATTTAGCCTATTCCACGCAGTTAGACCAAGATTTGAGTCTGTTTTTTTTTCTTGAAGTTTAATATATTCATTCATTCATTCATTAAAATCTAATTTGAGTAAAAGTCACTGCATAGTTGGGGTGAACATAAAAAGCCTTGTTATATTTATCAAGAATAATTTTGCTCACATTAAGGATAAAAAGTGTCCGTCTGCATCAACCTCCTGTAGATTTGGTGAAACAAAAATGTATTTTTTTTAATTGCAGTCAAATGATTCGTCTAGGAGCCACACATGGTCCCTGTGCCACACTTTGGACACCCTTACCCTAATGGGGCCCAGGCTTTGGACCCCATAAGGAGCAGTGGGCCCTCAGTGCAAGTACTTGTTAGAAAACTACACCTTACAAAGTGAGAAATGTTAACACCCACCCCCACACACAAATGTGCACACACAGACAGAAAATAAGCGTTTTTTTCTGTTAAAAGTGTTTTAAGGAGTAAATATAGAGCCAGATGAAGAGACAACATGAAGTCCATTTTTTATTTCGTTTTCTAACTGCAGATTCAAAGTATACAACTCAACATCATGATTTGATTTTTATTATGAGACCCATAAATAAAAATACAATTAAAAAACCCACTTCAATCAACAATCTACTGTTAGTAGGATTTGAAAAAAGATTATTTTTTAATATATTTTTTTTTCTATCAAAAGGCACAACATTGAATTTATTGACAACATGGAGAAGAGAACCTGCAGCATTAAATCTTTTAATTTTCCTTTTTATTTTTTTTTTCCAACACTCCATCAGAGAACATTGAAATGTTACAAAGATGTGTCTGAATCTACATGGAGAGAAACGAAACAGGAAAAAACAACCTCTATATCAACAGACTGTGGCTATAGATTGGTGCCACGGCTTTTAAACAGGAAACGTACTGCCACGGGAAACAAAACAGAAACCAACCGAAAAATTTAAAGAAAAATAGCACGTTGTTGCCGGAAAAGACAAAGGACCTTCGCAAAGCTCTAATGCAAAATTTCAAAAACATTTTTTTTTTCCCATTTTATTTTTTACAAGTGACAACAATACGAGAACAACAACAACAACAAACAAACAAACAAAAAAGAAAATAAAAAATAATAATTGGGCACCTTCTAAGATTAGGCTAAGATTAGGTGCTGAGGTAGACAAAAACTAAAACAATTCAAATCATAATAGAAACACTATTTTCTTAATACAGAGCAACTCGACTGGCACTTGTGCTGCAACAACAATGGAGGAGAGAAGAAGCACAGACAAAGCCAGGGAAAGACGGGGAAAAAAGCTTTGTTACGATACAAAAAACAACAAAAAAAAAAGCTTCGTCACGCTTGGTCCGACGGGGCAATTGGTCCTCAGTGCTAATATAAAAAAATACAATGTCTTGGTGCTTTGTTACTCGAACAGTTTTAGTCTAGACCTCAATGGCACATGCACTGCAACACTGCATGAAAATGGCTACTTTGTTCTAGAAAAACACCACACCAAAAACACAGAGTGCCAGCTTCCAGGGATGCCATGATTCCTCTCGGACCAAATTTTACATCCCCGACTCATAAATGCATTTTGTAGAACGAGGGGGATAAACAAACAAACAAATAATAATAAAAAAAAGTACTTTAATAAACAGAAGCCTAGTGCCAACCTGCACGAATGGAAGTTTTCCACTCATTTTCTCCTAAAAATCCTCAACAGCAAGGCTATTGAGACAAAATAACAATTGCATGAATTCAGAATGTTATTTTATATATATATATATTTTACTCTAAATCAGTTGCTGAGAAAAAAAAAAAAGCTTCCGGATGCCAATAACAGAGTACAGCTTAAAGAAGTGAATCCAGAAGGTTTATTGCAACAATTGGCTCTTAAAAAAAAAAAAAAAAAAAAAAAAAACAATAATTTGAGCTTCATGACATCCCTAGGGTGCTGGAGACAACACTTATTTTTCTTCTGGAAATACAGAACGTAAGCAGATACAGATGGATTATTTTTGTTGAACAATTTTCATTTTTAGGCACAAAGATAGTACAGAAACACCCGAGGAACACTGAGGGAAGAACTATATCGATGCCAATGTATATGTATATATTTATATATATATATATATAATCTTTTTTTCCCCAACAGAAAAAAGTGGCATAGAATATCATTTTATTTTGTATCTGATTAGTGCATTTTCCCACTAACACGCACACATACACACACACACTCTCACACAGTTACACACTTTTTCAACAAGTAGAAAACATTCAGAGGACGATGAGAAGAATAATGTGACTGAACAGGCTTGCATTGTGGCGTTCAGACTGAACTGTGACTGGGTTTTCATTTATTATTATGGTGGGTGGATATTACCCGAAGCCCCGCCCACCACCCCGGCCTCAGCTCACAGTGTTTGAGAATAAAATGGCAAGACACCACGGGACATGCCATCCCTTATTCTTTTCTCTTTTTTTTCAAGTACAAAGAAATAAACTAAATAAAAACGTCGACAGTCAAGTTTGATTGACATGAACAACTGAATGACGAGTACTAATTGGTCGGTTCGGCAGCGCCCCCTGTCTGCCGTTTCCGTTATTTTTTTTCTTCTTTTTGTATTGTCTTGTGTCTTTATTTTTAATAATCGTCACTTTTTCACACATTTGTAAAACTGGTGGATAGATTTAGTCCTTCACCGACAATGCAACTGACACCCAGAAAGCAACACTTATTACAACGTGTTTACACAAATAGTTTTTTTTTTTCCTTTTGTTTTTGTCCAACAATATCAAAGAGGAGCAGGCAAAAATGATTCACACCCAGAAGGAGGGGGAAAATAACGCTTAAAAAAAATTACAAATATTATTTGTGCCCTGCTTTAACCCTCCACAAAAATGGAAAAAAGGACCGACACTGAATACAAAAATATCACCATTTTTTTTATATATCAAATTGCCTCTGTTGGCTCTTGTTCAGAAACACACACATGCTTCTCTCAAAGGGAGAAGCTCTATTTTTAACCTTCTGGTTTGTCTTTTTTCTTTTCTTTTATTTTTTTTTTTGATTACGCCTTGCACGTCCAAATTGTCCAATGCGCTCTGCATCAAATGTGACATGCCCTGTGCGCTGCAGCGTTCTCAACCAACAATCCTGTTCACTTTGCTTTTTTTTTTATTTCACATTACAAAACTACAACTCTATTCACATATGTTCAAGTTTAAATTCTTGTTTTTAAACGCTCTCAAGAAGCAACAGAACTCATCCGTCTTACTCGTCACTTTAAGGCTTCAAAATAGCTTTTTTTTTTAGCTTTTCTTTTTTTTTTTCCTCCGCTCTTCTGTCGTTGGAGGCGCAGGGGGAGAACGTAAGAGAAGAACAAACATCCATTCGAATGACTTTCCTCATCCTGTCCACCTCCGCTTTACGGTTTCATAGAGACTTTTCTTAAAAACACAGACAATCATAAATCAACTTAAAAAAAGAAGCATGAGATGATGTAGCTTTGACAAATAATGCAAAAAACACAAACACAAAAGAATGTGAGTTTTCTGTTTTTTTTTTTTGCCCCCAAAAAAACAAACAAACATGAAAACAACTCAGAGGTAGCTTTTAGAACGAATGAGCGAACCATCCAGCTCCTTAACAAACAGACTTAATACCACGTTTGGTAACACAGAAAACATAATGAAAAAAGAAAACTGAATCTCTTCTCTGTGGCACTTAATTTCTCTGCAAACGTGCTCCGCCTCATCACATTTTTTGTTGTTGCGATGCATCCTCCGACACGCACCGGCCCAAACGTACACATGAAACAAAAGGGAAATTATAAAATACACAAGGAACATGAGGTCACACACACAAAAAACCCAACAAAAAACAGAGAGAGAGAGAGAGAGCAAAAGAGAGAGAGAGAGAGAGAGAGAGAGAGAGAGAGGTAATTCAAGTACGATGTGTTGAGCTCAAACTCAAAGTCAATAAAAAGAACCACAATAAGAGACGAGAGGGACGAAGCGCACAGACGGAACCGCAGAAAGAGCTCATTTCCTCTGCCTGGCTGCGCCTCATCCGACCGGTGACCACCTGCCTTCTGGATATGTAAATCCCCAAAAGATGTCATGACAATCACTTGTGTGGAACAGGTTTAAACGCCAGAAAGTTGGAGATGCCCACCTTCACTTCTCCAGCGTCGTTTACCTCAGAAGGGCTGAGTAGAGTGCACATTTCAAACGATAAGGATGCTTCGCTTTTCCAGGCAGGGAAAGTAATAAAGCAACGTCTAAAAAGAGGTGGGAACTTTCCGTTTTCTGACGTCGAAGCATCAATCTGTACTTTCATACAGCCTCATCATACGCTCCCCATTTCCAGACGTTCACATTCAGGGCTCTTGCCGTTTAGTCCTTAAAACCGACGAACGTTGGGATTGTGCAGCTAAGGCATCCTCAGCATGTTCACCGCAAACCGTCCGAGTCACAGGATTCACGCAGACGACAACCCTTCTCCCCCTGATGATTCGTTTTCCTCCGCTGTGGTGAGCTGACAGAGTCACGGCAGCTGAAGCTTTTCTGCTATGAGTCAGTTTGTGTTGGGTATCGTTAGTGTGAGACACTGATAGTCATGGGGATAAATGGGTAGAAGCAGTCCAGACACCTATTGCTGAATATAGCTGGGTTTTCTTGTGCGATATTATGATAGCGAGTTATATTTTGTGGAAGGGTTTATACACCTTGCTGACATCAAACAGAGACTGTTGTCGTAGTTTGCTTTACCTGTGCAATCAAGCCATGATAAACTATGATGCAGAGCTAAAAAAAAAATTATAATAACATATGACATAAAAGTGACGGTTGTCGGCCTTGAGCGGCCAGTGGTGACTGGAGCGTCTCCGACCCAGGAAGACCGCTGAAGAAGTCGGGGAGACCTCCAGGGAGAAGCAGCGCTGGTGTCTTCCCTGCTTGGTTTGCAGCATCTTAATACTCCCACTAGTCCAGTTCAACTGTCCCGTCTACTGCATAAGCCTGCAGGGGCCCACACTGATTCTCAGGGGCTATCTCAGAGCCACCGCTGCTTCTGGTGGAAATTCAAGAATGGACTCATAAACTTGCAGGTTTTTGGGCATTGGAAAAGGAAACAGTTCAAGAACTTAAAACAAAATGTTCATTAAAATACTCAAATCCAGACATAACTTGGAAAATAGCAAATGCAACATTTGGAAAGCATGGCACCAAAAAAGCAATGTAAAAAAAAAAAAAAAAAAAAAAAGAGAGGAGGGTCAAATAGCCCTTGAGAATCTGCCTTCTCACCAAAGTGGCAGCAGCATCCAAACAGTCACTTCTTTGCAGCCTACTTGCTTTGTGGTGCTGCAGGAAATGACCTGAAACAATAGCACAGTTGCAGATGTAGTGAACGACCCGGTGAATCCGAACAATGCTGGAGAACTCTCTCCATGTCCAAGTCTTTTAGCCCCACCGCCCCCACCCCTACACCCAGCTCCTCGTCGCCGCCTTTGCATGTAAAAACAAAACCAAACAAAAAGACTAAACAAACGCTCTTTTTTTTTCTTCAAGCATCTTCTTGTTGACATTCCTCAATCTTCAAGACCTCCTGCCCGCGCCGTTACATTCCTCTTACCTCTCTGCCCCCATCCACTCTCTCCCTCCGCATTCACTTCACCCCGTTCCCGTCTCAGACGTAGCAGAGGTACAGGTATGTCTTCTCTATGCGCCAGTCTGGAGGGATATCTTCAGGCTTGTGACCTTTCATGTGCTTCTGCATGGCTGACAGGCTGGGGCAGTACTCCAGGCAGATGGTGCATTGGTAGGGCGAGGCGCCATTGTGGGTGCGCAGGTGCTTGATCATGGCCGAGTAGTCCCTGGATCGCTGGTGGCACAGCTTGCACTCGAATGGCTTCTCACCTGCAGATGAGGGGAAGGTGGTGGAAGACAATGATTACGTTAATTATAAAGTCATTTTGGGCTCATTTTAGACTCCTGCTGAGAACAGATGCTAAATCTGACTGAAAGGATAAGAAAGAAAAGGTTTTATTGCCAATGTCTTCCATCATTCGTATAAATGTTAATACAAACCAAACAAGGAGAAGCAGCATTTAGCTTTTATACACAAATCTGGAACAAACTTCCAGAAAACTGAAAAACAGCTGAAACACTGAGTTCCTTTAAATCAAGGCTAAAACCTCACCTGTTTAGAGATGCCTTAGACCCATAATAACTGGAACACTGACCAACGTATATCCACCTGTTTTCTCCTCACTACCTATCAGATTCATTTTTACACCTCTCAAAAATGAACAGTTCTTTGTCTCATCTGAGAGAACAAGCTAAATTTACTTTGACAAACCACCATGTTTATGTTTGTGATGGTAGAACAGAAAAGGCTTTTTCCTGCCATCATTCCTAAGCAAACGTTTAGTTTGTGGATAGCATCAAATGGTTTTTATTGAGATTTTGATGTAATTCTCTAATAAACAGAACCAGATGCATCCAGTTATAAAAAAAGCAACATATTTGCGTTAAACTTAAAATAAAAACAAAAAAACAAAAAAACAAATGGAAACATTTGGATTGTTTGTGTTATGTTTTTACCTATGCGTCCACAGCTCCTTAACATGTTTTTTGCTACATAACTCAAGTTAAATATACAAATCATTATGAAGCAGTACCACAGTATTTCTATATAAAGAATTTACTCTAGAAAAGACAAAATATTTACCATAAATGTGCAGAACAACGCTGATTCAATCGCCAAGATAATCTGTGATGTATCCAACATGCAGCTCCTGCCACTTTAAACTCCTGAAGGTGTTATAAATCAGAACGACGCTGTTCTCTTGCTGCTGGGGCTGTTATGTTTAACGGCCACATTTCAATTTGGCAGCAGCGGCCGTCCTAAACGTGCTAATGATTTGAGTGATGGCAGGGAATAATCCACCAGCGCTCAAGCCGGCAGACTCAAATTAGACATGTAAATGCTGACCTTTACCAATGGCATTTGAAATGAGCTGTCGGAAGTGATCTGGCCCGGCGCTTTGCTGTCACCTTTCAGCAGAACTGCACATGTGTGTGTGGCGACAAACAGCCGCCTGTTCCCGCCTCTGTCGCTCGTCCGGTCTGTCCCGGAGAAACCCCGGTTTAACCTTGACCTTAGCCTGCGCCGGATAACGGTGTCACTTAGCCAATAGTTATGAACGCAGCGCTGCAAACCTGTTTAATTTCAGTGCGAACGCATGCGGGGTGTTGATATTGACACCCAGACTGTAAACACAGTCTCCTCAGATAATCAGCTAATAACGAATTGCAAATGGGGCCTTGGTATTGATCAGTCATTGGCATTTGGGATGTGTGGAGAGGCGTGGGGTGGGTAGGGGTTAGGTTGCCAATGTCGATGATTCATCAAGCAGCTGCTTTTGTGTGAGGTGGCCTTTGACTGTGAGCTTGTCACTCGCTCTTGTTATCTGCTGTTGCTCTCCGGCTTAACGCAAAACCCCCCCTCCCTCATACAAAAGGGGAAAGGGTGGACGGAGGGGAGCCAATTATTGGACAGGCTGCCTTGATAGTGTGGCTTAACAGCTGGTTTATTGAATGGGAGATGGGAGGGTGCTGCTGCGAGCGTGTGTGTGTGTGTGCGTGTGTGTTGGAGGGAAAAAAGATGGCGAGAGAGCATAAACCCTTGGCCGTGTGCCACCCTGGTGAGCGCTCGTGGTAGACTATACTCACTCAATCGAGTTTGCAGCATGCACTCATTCTCCAGGGCACCTAGCCTATCACTGTGTCAACATCTTTATGGGGCTCTAAATATACTGAGATCAATACAAAGTCTTCTGAGACATTCATCCACTGTATCACAGTAATACTGATTTCCATCTGCACTGCTCTGGGCCTTGGAACTTTGATATCCTGAAGTCTTTTAATGGCTGTTTAAAAAAAAATGACCAAGAAATCCCTGAAGCATTGACTAAAAAGTGTTTTGCTTAAAAACAAATAAATGAATTTGAGTTATGGTAGCAGGATGACTCATGCATATTTTGAAAAATGTTAAAATAGCTTTCGCTTCATGTCGACTTTGGGAGCGAACTTCAAAGGTATCAAGAATGAATATTTTTATTTCGTGAAACTAGAATACACAGAGCAACGTAAAGATATAAAAGACAATCAGAGTAAATATAAAAAATCCTTCCCCATTTATTTAGGGAAAAGCCTCTCCTAACCAACTTGACACAACAGAAAAAATAATTGCTTCTCTTGTTAAATTATCATATTAACAGTGATTGATCACAAAAATTTGTTCCATTTCACAAGCCACAACCACTTCTGATTATTGTCAAATCTGTAGCTTAATGAGATCCTTTAAAGAGAACCTGTCTGACAACATGAAGTAGGCAAAAACTTCTCAAAAAGAACACATCATATCCTGATCTGTCAAAAACACAACCAGTCACTGACATCCATCAGTCTGGAAAGGGTTACAAAGCCATATTTTGTCTGATAATCAAATTTGTTTCACAGTCTGAAACATTTAAAAATATCTAAAAAACAAGTATGTGTTTCAGATTATCAATATAAAAAATAAAAAGAAGAAGAAATGTGTCAGAAAGCAAACACTTAACACAACAGTTAAGCAAGAACATGTAAACCCTAATTCTGAAAAGCTTAGATGCAGTCAAATTCAGCATTTTTTTTTCTTTTTTTTTTAAATCTGATGAATTATAATCATGCTATTACCTCAATGTATAAATAATTCAACCATACAGGGCAGCTGAGCCTGTATAAGTGTCAAAAAGATTAATTTATGGCTTCTTTTAGAGTTCAAAATTTTTAAATCAAAGAAAATATATATTTCTGAAAAACTGTTTTGAATTTTTGTTACTTGTTTTCGGAGAACTTTAAATGGTTCATCATATTTAGAGAATATGTCTGGAAATAAGCTAACCTAGCTTACCAACACTACCAAACTTAGCTAGCTAAACAGTTAGCATGGCTCTTTAGAAAAACTAATTCTGTTTTATGTAAATCCCTTTTAATGAAAGCACAATTTGACTAATATTAAAATAAACATATCATGCTTTATATGTAGTGTTGGTTGAAACTTAGTTAGCCTACAGGCTAGCTGCCAGAAGTTCCTACAGCAACAACCTGTTTGCTAAAGCTAGATGCAACAAATGTTGATGTTTTATGCATGGCATCAAAACCAAAGTTTTTAGTCATTAATTTAGGTTACAGTCTTAATGTGAACACTTCTCTGGAACAGGTGTTTAAAGTTTTGACTGCTAGCCTCACAGTGCTACGCAAATATTTGAAAATTGAAAAGATGAAGAATTGCTGAATTCAACATGCCTTAAAGGTCAGAACCTGATTCTGTAAAAGTAAACTCACTCAACTTCAAAGTGATCCAATTACCAGCCAGAAAACCTGTGGAAGTTGCTGATTAATCTACTCCATGATCATGTTAATTACTGCTGGCAATACAAGTTAATATATATTCTCTGTATTCTGTGCATTCAAACACTAAAAGAACATCTTCATGAATATGCATCGTGTGGTGTATGCTTCATTGATTTAAAAATATTAAAAGAGTTGGCTTCTTTCTGCAACATTTTGAAATGGGTGGGAGCCATACTAGTTTTTGCAGTCTGGTTTGATGAAGAGAATTCAGCCTTTAAAGTTTGAATCCAACTTTAGAATTAACATTCTAGTTGATTGATCAAAATTAACCTCACATGGAAATAAAAGTACCAATAAACCTTTTTCCATCTTCAAAATGCAAAAGTACGTGTTAACTGGCAGTCAGTCTCCATAGAGACTGTTTGTGAGGCAAATGACTGAATCCATTCCTCCTTGTGAAAGAGCTGCTGTTTTACATCTGAACTTGTTTCGGAGGCAGTACCTGTGTGCACACGGTAGTGGGTTTCCAGCTGGTGCTTGAGGCTGAACTTCTTCCCACAGCCGTTACATTCATAGGGCTTCTCCCCAGTGTGGATGCGCTTGTGGCCCTTCAGTGTACTCTCGTCTCGGAAGCAGCTACCGCAGAATTCACACTCGAATGGGTGGTCCCCTGCTGTGATGCAGACACAGAAAGACCAATTTACTTAAAGTGCTGACAGTACAGTACATAGTTGCAAAAAGATATAATATACATACCGAGCCATCTGACAGCTGAGCTAACAGCTCAACACAAAGCTTTATTATGCGGACAGACAGGGTTATGCACAAACAGCAAGCATGTTTTAATGGATATCCATTTCAGTACCAGCAGACAAATACCAGCCTTTGTCTTTTTCTACAATTTTCCCGCACCGCTGTTGTGCTTTGTTTGAAGCCTTATAATTACTGCCTGTCTTGGCTATTCAGCAGCCATCCAATGCATTATAAACCATACAGACGGACTGTTTACAATGCACTAATAGACAACAACACTGATAAATGCGGTAATTCTAGAGGGATGTGCTTGTCATCAGGTATTTTATCTCCTTTGAATCATTGCACTCCAGTCCAACAAAAACTAAGATGTTATTGTCTCTAGAAAGCCTGAGAAGCTTGATGAGTCGTTTCCTATAGTTTGATCACTGTGTTATTGTGAATGCAAAACTCTTTTGTCCATCTGTGACGTACCGGATCTATTTCAGAAACCTTACTGCCTATGGATCTACAGTATTTGTGCATTCTGAAATGAAAACGATAAAAGGAATTGTGTTCAACTCCTCAGGCTGCCACAGCACGTGTCCCTCCTGGGCAGCCGTAATGGATCTTCACATGTCAACGTTGGGCGATATTATGATTTGCAGTGAGTCTCTCCACAGCAGCCCCAAGACTAATTGTATTCCCGTGTTTGATGAGGACCCGCTCCTTGCGTCATTATCTCCCTTACGTGTTATCCTCTCCATCCGAGTGATGTTGCAGATATTTATTAATGTATTTTGCTCCACCGCTGCAGGTTTAAGTCACCATCAATGACCTATGCCTTTCATTATCTGCCTGTCCAAGCAGCAACGTGCCGGGGAATAAATTGCATTTCTCGTTATGTGCCTCCACCACTGCCCTGCTGTTAAAAGACAATTTCACTTCCATCCATATATTTTATTTATAATTTTATGTAAGTACATACAGTATGTATGCCTGAGCTGGTTTATTTAAGATCCAGAGAGGAAAATGGGAGTAAAAGTGGAACGTAAAATGTACACATCCTCGAGTCTGATCACATTATGGGAATATTATACTTTTATGGTGGAAAACATTTTCAGATGCCTTAGGGATGATGTTGGATGCACTTCCATTAAAGGGAAGCGATGGGAATGAAGGGATGGGGGATAAAACCCAGACAGGGATAGAGCAGGAGATGTGGGTGTATATGGCCTCGGCGGTGGGGGCTGGGTGAAAATCAATAAAAGTGACAGTCTTTATTTGTCTGCATGAAGTTATCAGTGGCTCCCGCTGTAAGACATTGTGCTCTTTCTAGCGTCTCATCCACAGCAGAGATCACAATCCATCACAGAGCTCGGTGGGCTTGCACGATGCTGGAAGAATAATAATTGAGTTCAGATTCACCTGCCTTTAATTAGGAGCCTCCTATCAGTCCAGCAAATGCAATGCTAATGCACAGAGGCGGCCTGTGGAGGGTTATTTATGTTTAATGTCCTGTTGCTGTGCAAGTGTCTGCTGCTGGAAAAAAAGAAGGTAAAATTTGACTAATAAAATAAATTTTCCTGTTTAGGCAAGACTTCTTGCTTGGAACATACCTTAAAAACATAAATAGTACGCTCCACTTAAGACTGCGTTTCTGTTCTTTTCACTGCTTACAGTCACAGATTTACACCTTTGAGGGTCAAGTCTCAAAGAAAGAAAATGTCACTTGTGAGAGCCAAGTCCAAGTCTAAAGTCTTTGACTCAAAGTCCAAGTCAAGTATTAAAAGCTTCATCATTTTCAGCCATACGTCACGCTGCAGAGGACTCAAAGTGGACGTTCACTAAACACATCCAGACAAACAGTAACTCGTTATGACAGAGTATCTGCTTTATTCTAGATATTTCCTGCATTATTTGAACTGAATCTTTCATCAGTTGATAAGTGACCAAGAAAAATGGACCTCTGTCTGCAATTAATTAATCACAACCACATTTTAAAACTATGTACATTTACAAAATAAGCAACATTTTTGATTCCAAAACTATTTTTGCTAATAAATCTTTGAATAAATTGACATATTATAACAAGGACAATTATAGTTTTTAATCTGTTATTTACATTATTCAACCTTCAGAATGGCACAAAGTGCTCCAGAAATGTGCACTATGGATGTCGACATTAGCATTAGCTCCAACGTGCTACTGCAACATTGGAGCTAATGCACTGAGCCTAAAGTAGCATTGAGATGCTACTTTAGCCTTTCAGTTACTTCCCTGAAGGGCTAACTCCTTTTAGCACAACTTGAACACAATAGTCTTTTCCAGCGTCCCATCAGAACATTGTTTTGAAGTGGCTTTGTCGTCCATTACCTGCTGTTTCCGGATGTTCCTGTGCATCAGATTTTTGGGTGTACCAGAAACATGTGAATAAAAAAAGGTTCTGGTTGGAAAAATAAGAGAGGAATGTATTTGACATTTGGTTGTTGTACATTTTACTGAAATAGACAAAATGAAACATGATGACGCCTCGCTCCTGTCATCCTCCACTGCCACTTGGGAACACTAAAGCACAAAGACATAAAGCAGAGCTTTATGGAAATCGCACACATTTCTATCACCACAAAAGGAGTTCATGTCAGGATCTTCTCGTTGCTCTTTCAAATGGCGAACACGTCGTCTGTCCATCTGATAACTGCTACCATCCCACTTTCATTCCACTCCATTTCTCCGTTTCATTTCTTTCTCTCTGGTGTGACCACATGGCGGTGGGGGGGCGCCGCAGATGAGGACCCGGCAAAGTGAGGTGGAACCGCAGCACGCCAAGTGAACCCAAGGGTGCCCCCAAGCATCACCACCTGCGTCTCCTCACCCCCCCCCACCCCCACACACACACACACTCCCCTCCAATCACCTCTTTTGACACCCCAAAGGGCCGCCGAGGGTGCCCATGGGCGCACGGAGTGTGTTCATTATACACGGTAAGAGGCTGTAAATTACCGGGCGACATCTCTGCCAAGACCAGAACTGGCTTCGGTCCCCTCTCGCTTTCTTTCCCCCTCTGTCTGGCTGCGGCGCTATCAAATACAGCTGCGAACACAAAACAACCCCGCCACAGCAGACAGCAAATTGGCTCCGAGTTAAAAAAAAACAACAACAAAAAAAAAAAACACACACACAGACACTTACACACAGACAGTGCACAACAACAGAATATTAATGAAGGCCTGATCTGTAAAGAGAGTGTCTGCCCTCTGTGTGTGTGCGTGTGTGTGAGAGAGCAGCTTAGGAAAGGGAAAAGCACAGCTGCCATGACTGCACTTCTATGAGCCAGCATTGTGTTTATTCACAAGTGCTTGACTCTATACTGTACGGTACACATGCTATAGAGACAAATACAAAGAGGCAGCATGGTTGTAACAGTATGTCCAGCAGAGGTGATGAAACTGCAGGTGGATACAGAGAAATAACAGACTTGGTGAGGGAGAGAAGGCGAGATGGTGAGATTAAGAAGCTGGAATAAACACCATTAAATCTGTTTTTTTTTTCTTCTCCTCCTCCTCGTCCCTAAATGGTGATCCAGTGTCAGAGCCGGTAGCTGCAAGACTGCTTTCAAAAGATAAGGCTGCAGACAGGTAAAATGAAGCAGGCGTAATGAATGTCCATAAAAGTGCTTTCTGTTGTCAGCTGATACGACTGAATACTGATTCGACTAACAGCCGAGCTGCATCTAAAAAGCTTCCGCCCCAAACAGGCGCTGCCACGCTCCGTCCATTAAAATTAGAGTTGAACAGCGAGATCTTGGTATTTACAGGGAATTCTTGTCTTAACTTAGGCCACTTTTCACAGGAAGCGCCAACGGGAAGGAGCGATTTGTTTGATGCTTTTGTGTGCGAAAAAACTGCCTGAAACAAAGAAAACATCATCCACAGCACAACTGACAAGCTGCAATACAGAAGTCGGAGAATTGTTGTGATCTTTAGGGCTTTGAGTTCAGAAAACAAATCAGAGATGAAAGCTGGAAAATAATTTTACTTTAATCTGGGTTTATTAGCTATAACTGAAACACCTGAACTACAGAATATACTTCACTATTACTAAATTTCTATGGTTTTTCTTTATACAGTAACACTGTGAATTTTTTTGTGGAACATAACTCCAAATTATTTGCAAATTATACATGTGAATACAGCATGTATAAAACTATTTGATAGAATATTTGTGACGCTGAAATGCCTAGCCGCAAAACTACTTGTCGCGCTATTGGAAGCCAATCCAGGTGCGCCATTCATTTGGCTCCTGATTGGCTGAACCCCAGAGTGTGGAGACAAGGTAGACTGTAGATGTTAGCTTCTGTGATAATGCTGTGACGGTTTCCACTGTGCGCATTAATGGATAGCAAGGCATATTTGGCGTTTGAGCTTTTAAAATAGCGAGTTATCTGATTTTGATTTGAGTTTAAAGCTTAGAGACATACAAGCACATATAGATAAAATAAAACATCATTGAAAAGTTCATTTAAATAAAAGATGACACTCATTTTATACCTTAATTGCACTCAGAGTGAAATATTCAGTGTTTATCTTTCTTAATTTTGTTAACTACGGCTTCCACTTACCGCAAAACATACTGCAAAATCATAAAGACCAATAATATTAACAAGATTTCTAAAAACAGGATCAAAGACTGCTGACCAAACACCTGACCAGCTGATGAGGCGCAGAAGGTCATCGCTGCAGAAAATGGCTGTTTACACACTGTCTTATCCAAGAACTTTACCAGAAAGCTTAGTGGAAGAAAAACATGTGGTGGAAAAAGAGACGTGTCATTAGCTGGTGTGTTTAATCAAGTCCAAAGTCAACTGTGACTAATTGGCCATCAAACTCAGTTCATATAGAATCAGTTTATTCATTTATCTGTATGTTATCATTTCTGAGAAGTTGAATTTTAGGTTTTCAATATCTGTAAACCGTTATCCTCAAAATGAAACCAAAACATTTCAACTTTAACAATTTTAGCAGAATTTGTCACCGATTGAATGGAATTACTGGAACACTTTTTTGATATTTAAATTTAACAAGATGCATCTGTATGATTGACTGCTTTAACTGGGAGAATCTTAGTTTCCTTTTCATTTCCAAAATCTCTCTGAAGGCAGACAGAAAAATGAGAATCAGCAAAAAATGAAGTGATAGTAGATGGTAAAGCCACAGATTCTGAGTCTTTATTTTTCTTTGTCAAGTCTTTAAAGATTTAAATATCCCCAATCTCATAAGACAGTATTTAGCAGAATCTCTAGCAGCTATAGGGCTGATTCTCTAATGCGAACCTGATGTTTTAATCAGGATTTTTGCAGCGTTATGCATTGAATGGTAATAACATCAAAGGGTGACTCCAGAGGAACACCAGCCCTCTAGTTTTATTTAAAGGTTAAACTAGGACCCGTTTCTGGCACACACGACGGCTGCGTCAGTGGCTGACTTTATAATCCCCCGACAAAAGCCTCTGCATCATATTTAAACGGCCGCGTTCACGGCTGGCTCATTGTGATTTAGCACACGCCCACAGTGGGACGAGGTTCAAAGTGGCAAAAGGCTGCAGAGTCGCATCTGCAGCTCCGCCGCCGAGCTGAGGTGACATTTGCATCGCCGGGGTGGGCAGGTGGATCAGAGACACTGCATGTGTCCTCTCCGGCGTCTGGTGGAAAGAACAGATGTGTGCATCGCTACTGTAACCCCCTGCCCCCTCCACCCCCCCCCCACCCCCCTGTGAAGCCCCTCAGCTCCCACCACCATCACACACTAATGGTGTACTCGCCTGACTTGTAAATAGGGCCGACTGCTCTCATCTCGCTGCCTTTCGTTTCAAATATTTATCCGCGAGCTGGTGAGCTAAATCGGCTCTGACAGTGAGACTGTTATTTAAGGTCGCAGACAGGCGGTTGGGTGAGAGACGGAGAAAAAGAGGGAAGAAAAAAGGCCCTTTTCCTCGCTGCTGAAATGGGATTCATTTCCATGTGTTCATATTCTGTCATGGCCGCGTTTCTTCCCCACCCCTCCACCTCTGCTCTGAATAGCCGCATCTGTCAGGCTACCTCTGCTCCAGCGAAAAAATGTATTAGAATCCTGGTCTTGTCCTTGAGAGCCGACACTGAGTGAATTATAGTGGACTGATGGAAAAGGGGGGAAAAAAAACAAAAAAAAAAACAAAACAAAAAACAAAACAGCCGCCGTAAATAATCTTCCCCCGAGTGCTGCAGAATGCATCCACGTTGACCTGAATTCATGCTGTTTATTCAGCGGAGCTAAATTTCCTAAAATAAAAACACGCCTTTGTACTTTGTTTTGTACTGTAGGCTGTATTCAAACATGAGAATCCTTGTAGTACTCACAGGAAAAAGCTGAATCCAATTTAATTTTAAGCTGTCAGGTATTCTGTTACCGAGAAATCAAACAGGTGGGAGAGGGATTGTGGGGGGAAAAAAATGGGTCATTTCATGAAGAAGCTCCAAGGCAGGGCCATTAAACAATATCAGCTGAAACGTTGTCTTAAAAACTTCTATTTTGTAGAATAACCTCTACTAGGTAACTTAATTATTAGACAACTAATGTGATGTACTTCTATGTTTAGTGGTTAATGTGTTGTTTGATGCCAGTGAGTGACACTGTGTCATTATCCTATGGAGCCACAACTGAATTGGGCCCAGGGATGGTGTGGAACATTCTGGTTGTACGTTTATTTTTATGTATCCAAGGAATAGTCAACAGCAGGACTGTGATATGATCCACAGCCAGAATACACTAGGATACATAAACAGGATGCTGTTAAAGTGCTCAAAGAGTTTATCAGTGGTAAGTTTTTTTCTATTATTATCTTCTATTTGGAACAAAGTTTATATTTCCCCACACATTTAGAAATAAAACCGTTTTTGTTTGTTTTACAGGAGAAGGTGTTCATTTCAAATGCACCTTTGGTTTTACAGCTTTTAAGACCATATGCAATGTATAATTTTAAAATAAAAGAAATGACGCTAATGAATCAACTGGGTATCAATATCAGATCTTTACTCATCATCTCAATACTTGAGAAACAAGATTCATTTGGATAAAAGATGAATGCTGCAATGCCTGTAGTATTGTTTCACTGCAGTTTCTGCAATGGAAAGGTATTATTTACCCGGTAGCGGTGCCTACTCTTTGGCATGCCAGACTTAGAAGATCTGAAGCTCATCCACTCCAGTGGATGCCGAAGGTCAAGATGGAAGACACAGAACCACAAAATCCACAAACGGCAAAGTTGAGCAAAGACAGCTTTTGTAAGTTTAATGTTGGAGTCTTTTTGTTTTTTGTTGCAAAACCACAACTTTTTTCCCTATCGCTGCTCACAGGGCATTGCAAGTCTGCTCTGGAGGCCTGCGTGTGCCTGGATGGAAACTTTAATGAAGTCCCTCCCTCACTATCCTGTTGTATTAATTATAAACTTATCTCTATAATTTAGGAACGTCAGTCAAAAGGGGAAGAAACTCATTTTCTTTCACTTTTGCAAATACAGAGCACAACATATAAGCCAAAAACAATAAATCCAGCATATGACAGCTTATTTTTCCCCATATACCTTGAATTAATTAGAAAAAATGATGGACTTGTTGGAGTATTTTACTATTTCACATTGTTAATGGACATGAAGTCGGGTTAGGTTTTAGATATTTCAGCCACATAAGTTTCAGTTCTGGATATTTAATAAAAGGTGACATTAAAAAGTTAGAGTAAAACCTTCAAAGCATGTTGCATAGCAACCGCAGAGTTTAGGGTAAAAAGTAGCACAACGGAGGAACTCGAGTCAAAACGAAACAAGATACTTAGACATAAAGCCCTGAAGATGCCCCTGTCTCGCCAGCAGTGAAGACGGACACCGAGTGCTTCCACTAACCTGTGTGTGAGCGGAGGTGGCGTTTGAGTGCAGTATGGCTGGGGAAAGTACGGTTGCATTCGCTGCAAATGTAGCTGCGAACGCCGGCATGCACTTCCATGTGCTGCTGCAGTGCTGTCTGGGTCTGGAAACGCTTCCCACAAAGAAGGCAAAAGATGGCCATGTCCGACCCTGCAAAGAGATAAAAAAACAAAAAAAAAAACAGAGAGGTCACTGGTTAATCAGAGGTGGAAACTGGACGACATTATTCCAATATCTTTTTCAATGGCCTGTTGCACATCTGTCTGCCAGTGTGTCACTAGATTAATGTGACAAGTAAAGGAAAGGTGGTCAGAATTACAACAAGTTCTGTCTGACTAGATCGAAGAGAAAAAGCCACAGTGCAATTTGCCCAGATTGCGACATCAGTTATATGTGTCCAACAGGACTTTGTCCTAATTGTTTTACTCATTAGGGAGCAAGTCAGTGGTTCCTTAATAGTGCAAAAGTCCCGAAATACATTCATATCCTCCACACAGCACAACAGGAAATTTACAACAGTAAAAATAGTCTAGAAAACAAGCACAAAGTGGAAAACAACAAGGGAGCGGAGAACATTGTCTGCAGCTACCTCTCAGATCTGCTAACATCAGCATGTCAATGCTAATACAAATAGTTTCCGTTTAGCAAATTTATTTTCGTAATTCCATTTTCTGCAATCTTGTGGCCAGTGGAAATGTAGTTAGTGTAAAACTTATTTTGCTCCCCTCATAGCTCTAGATTACACTTTCTTTATCTTCCACTAACACAAACTGAAGTTACTATCTTCAGGTGATGCTCTGAAACTCGTCTGCACCTTTCCTCCCATCATCATCCTCCTGCAACATCTCCCCCGTCATTCTTTAGCACGCCACAACGGTGATTGATCAGGTGTGCAGGCTTTCGTGGGCCCTCCTCTTCCTCCTCCTCCTCTTCCTCCTCCTCCTCCTCCTCCTCCAATGGTTATGAACATGAGACAGGCTGCTCTTCATAGATTTTTAAATTAGTGTCAGCTTTGCCCCAAAGATGTGTTATTGACTGATGAAATAGAAACTGAGCTCCAAACACTCAGTCCTTCCCCAGAGTTTTCCCCAGCCTGGTAATTGAAAAAAGTGTGAAGGGAGTGTGTGTTCGAAGCGGCCGTGCAACCCTGTGGTGTGTGTTTGCATTTTTTGTTGTTGTTGTTTAGCTGTTTGTGCGCTTGCAACTGTGTGCTCTTTATCTCTGCTGGAGAAAAATGCACCGCACTCGCTGGAGTCGAGATTCGATTGAAGTATTGCATAGGAGATCTTTATCAGTCTGCGCAGCCACCCTGAAACATTAGAAATGTGTACGTCTTTAATCTCTATAAATACAGTATGCAGCAAGTAAGCCCGCCAGGGAACAGTTAGTAAAATATAACATGTCACACATGTGTGGCTGTGTTTCCTGTCGCATTATACACTGCATCAACAACTTGTGTGATTTGTTTGCGTCTACTGTTTGAAATGTTCACTCTTTCATTAACTATATGGAAAGGTACATGTGTTATAAAGACACCCATGTGTTGTTTTTCATTCATGTTGCTGTAGTAATTCACTGCAATATTATATTTAGTATAAACAAACGCCTGCACCAGCATTCACACCTACATCGGAGGTGATGAACAGTTTGATTTTTGCTTCCTTCAGCTGAAAACTCTGCTGTAATTGACCGTAAATCTTTGTTACAACAGCCACAGAGTGAAACTGTGTCACAACTTTGAATGCCAAAAATCCTGAGTTTACCAATGAGAAAATAGTTTATATAATCTGTTATATGGTTGAGATCTGATTCAACACATATTTGCATATTTTTTTATTATGAAATTGATCTGGTCTTTGCTTAGAGTGTAACAAGACATCAATCCACATCAATACATTGATTAAACAAATAATTGAACTGCATTTGCACTTTAATAAACATGTCAAGTCTTGGTTAAATTCTGTGAAAATGTTTTGTTTGAGACACTAAAAGATGTGGAAGTTTAAATTCTGCTTTAATATATGAAAAAAGACTTAAAAGTCTGTTTAAAAATGTATGTGAATTTATAGAAGCTGAATACATATTCTCTTTGTTTCTTTATGACTGAATGTTTTTCAAGGGCACTTTTAAGTTACTAGGTTAGCAACTTACTGTTGTTACTAATGAATTTAAAATTTTAGGGTAACAATAATAACCTGACATTTTAGGAGATGAGCAGCTTCACAGTTCAAACATCTGGGAAATTATGTTTTTTGGGTATAATGGATAAGAGTACGTTAATATGCTAAGACTTATGTTTACACACTAGCATGTTTAGATGGTTCTGGATATTTTTGTCGAGCATTTTTAATGAATCTTGAAGTAACAATAACTTGCTGTTTATGTTAACACTGGCATTCTAGGATGTGAAAGTTAGCAGACCTGAACTGCTAGTGCTGAAATGCAGTGCTGGCTTTAGCATGCTAATGTTAGCAGATCTGTGGCGATAATTTGAGCACTGACATACTAATGTTAGGACTGACGTCAGTTTTTTTGATAAAAATTTTTGCATTACGTTGATGTGATTTTTCTGGCTGCATTGAAATGATTTTATTTTATAAAACACATTTTACACTTCACATGATTTGTGATCAGCAACTGGATTTTACTAGGCAGATAAGACAAAGACGACAATAGGAGGTAGTTCATAACACGGAGTGTTTTTTAATGAGTAGTCTCGTGAATAAACTTATTCACGTGTAATTTTAATAGCATTTATTATCTAGAGGAAATAGCTCAATTGCAAAATTGTTTTTTCGGCTTTAGCCAAACATTGAGAAAGCTTTGCACACATTTGTAATGGAAATGCAGCTACTTATGACTGCTACCACCTGCTGTGTTTCCTTAGATTAAAAAACTTTTTAACTAATAATAAACTGAACTTGACTGTATTATCCAACAGGGTCAATTGGAATGGACGTACTTTTCTTGGCATCTGTACATTTTGTAAAGTTGATGGCGTGCTGTGACTTTGTGCTAAATAAATAAACTGAAGTGGTAGTTGGGTTGACTCTACTGGTGCACAGAAGTCTTTGATATCGACCATCACACATAATAAATATGACTTTATAATTGCTTCCAGACTATTTCTTAGTTTTATTTCTTTTTAGATTAAGGCTTGTAGCCTACTTCATGTTGTAAGAAAGATTATATTTAAATCAATTCTTGATTCTACAGGTTAGGGTAGTAAAACATGAGCTGACATTACTGCTAATAATAAGGAATTTTAATAAATTAATTGAAAGTGTGATTCTAAAAGAAGAAGAAAAATATAAAGCTGATTTTTTTTTTTAAATTGAGACTTCTCACCTACCTGTAGACTTTTAAAACAGTTAGACTTGGAATACATAAATAATGTTTGTGTTTAGATCATTTTGGAGAAAAATCATGTATGACTGAGAAAGAAAAAAGTTTATTATAGTTGTGGAAGTGGTTCAGAGTCAAAAAAAGAGGGAGAGAAGTAGATGTTAGAGGGGTGGAGGAGAGCTTGGTCTCACAAAGACTTTGGCCAAATATGGGGAATTAGAGGAGAAAAGGTTTCTGGAATGTAAAAGGTCAACACACCTCTGACCTTTGGGCTTTAGCAGGGCGGATATATGAAACCCAGATGCAAACACGCCCTGACATCCTCACAGAAAAACAAAGCTTGGAAACAAAAAGTGGAAGCACGAGACAACAAAAAACGGCCACTTTGAAGTCAGGGCAGCTACAGTGGCTGCCGGGACACATTAAGTTGATTGGAGAACAATATGTGTGTCAGATTTAAAAGCAGCCAGTCACTTCTGTTAGAAAAGCATTACAGTTTTGTCTAAGTAGACACGTAAAGCGTGGAACGACGGTGGGAAAAATAGTTACATAAATCCAAAAACTGATTAACATTTAAATACATCACTTAGTCATGGTGAAAAGAAAGACAAATATATCAAAATGTATGAGAAGTCTGTCAAAAACAAAACTGAAATGAAAAAAAGTATGCAACCCCCCTCCCCCCTCATACTTGCTTTTAAGGTATTTTGTGGTATTTTGTCTGTATAGCAGCATGACTGATTAAACTTCATTAATTGATTATCAGTTACTTAAGTTTGCTGCTCTGGAGCATACAGACAACGTCAGACAAACTTCAGTAATGACCTTAGAGTAGAAACTGTGATTAACCATTAACCTAGCAAGGGTTATATGACTATTTTCAAGATACTTTACAGAAAGATTCACTAATGGAAAACATTTAAGAGAGCTGACCATCTTCTTCCCAGGAGCAAAAAATTGACCTCAAGGTCAGAGCGTGCAATGCTCAGAGAAATAAACACAAGAGCTCCATCTCAAACCACAAGACCTCAACATCTCTGTTCTTTGGACAGATGAGACCAAAGTAGAGATGTTTGACCATATTGTACAGTTCCATGTTAGAAAAAAACAAACAGCGCATCAGGCAGAGTGGTGAGCGGATTTTGATTTATGCAGTTTTGCAGACAATACACTTTAGAGTCATCAACTCAGCAATGAATTCGGCTGTAAACCAACGTATTGTGGAGTCACATGTGATGGCAACTATTCACAATCGGTCATCATCTGAATAATAATTATTAAACTCTCACATCAAATCTAACTTTGATCACAGTGTTATTATTTGTGGTTGGACTTGACTCAAATTGTGAATTGACTTATTTGCAGTGACTGTAATCAAGTTTTTCACTTTAATTAATTTTAACCAAAAACCATATACATAGAAAAATAAAATACATTTTTTCATTTCAAAACCGAAACGACGCCGACAGACATCTGTGCTGCTGCTACATGTTTAGCATCGAGTTGCTATTTTAGGCTAGAAAAGCTTCGCGGATAGGCTAACTCCTGTTAGCACAACTTAAACACAACATTAGTGTTTTCAAGGGTCCAATCAGATCGCTTTCTGAAGCAGGATTAAATCTCCAGTTGGCAGGAGAAGCTGCCTTGTCGTCCATCTTTTTTTTCAGATATCATCTGTACCTCAAATTTATGGGGGTATGAAATGCATGACTACAAGGGATCTGGCTGGAATCGTTGTATGTAAATAAAAAAAGTGACATTTCTAATGAGTTAAAATCTATGCAATTACTTAATAAAAATGAATG